TGTGTATGTCATTAATGGAAGATGATGGCTCTGCTGAATCATTATTAATATTCATAACAAAAAGATTCAGCATCAATACTACAAGATGAAGATGCAGAGGTCTTCACCATGAGAAATAGCAGGATGTTTTGTTCGTCTACCTCTGCCTTTACATTGATTGATGAATATTACTGTATTTCAGTGCTTGTTTTGCATGCTGAGAAAAATATGCGTGGCGTTTAAAGCTTGGACTGTGGTAGAATCCCTTGAGGAATTACTATGCAGTACAAAGTGGACAAGGAGGCGCTGTGACACATTTTTGATATTAATCACATTAGGATACACATGAACAAAGCCAAGGAGCTTGTTCTAGCTGTTGGCTCGGAACGTTGACACTAATAGACGCATTAGGACTGCTTGTGTAAGCATTTCAAATTAGCTGGCAGTAAGCCCTGTTAATACTTTCATACTGTTCATAGTGTCCAGCGAATGATTATGACCGAGCTTAAGCGTATTGCAGAGTGGAGGCAATCTACCCTGATCGGCAGAGATCGGACTGTAATTTTAATTAGGTAAGCACAGATATAAAATGGCCAATGACTGTTAAGCACGCAAATATAAATAAATGTATCACAATAACTGATTTCTGAATAATTGAAAAATGTATATAAATCAAAAAGGGCTCACAATGTTTTGTTACTCTTTAAGTTGTGGAAAAACTAAAATAAAGTTTAGTTCTTGTATGTATTTTCACAAACTGGTTCAATGAGTTTAACAAATGTTGTTTTTTCCTTTTTTTGGGTCATATTTCCAGCTGCAGGTAATGATACGATGGCATGCTAGGTTTTCATGCTTACTGTAGAGAAAACATACACAGTGGTCCTGAACTCTCACCGTGTTTCTGACATTTTTTATGGTGTGCCTTGTGATTCCTTGGGTTTTTATTATCTTCTCATTTCACTTTGGCTTCTCAGAAACATTCTGCTACCCTTGCAGTTCACGTGTGATGCACATTATATTTTGTCAGCATCTGACAGTCCTCTCTTAGGGTTTATCACCTCAAAGTAATAACTCTTACTTGGAAGACATCTTCACAAGCATGCTGAAAAAAGTGGTGCTGACAGAGTGTATGAACATATGCATGTAGATCTGTTTTGCATCTCTTTTATTGAAATATACCATTTTTATTGAAATATATTGGTAGTGACTTCCTTCTGCTATAAATGTGACTTCATAGGCTGTATGTGTAAAGGCTCTTAATGTTGTTACAGAATTGCCTTAATTGACTGTTTTGTAAGCTGAAGTTACAGTACCAATGACCCAAAGCCATGTAACTATGATAATAGGAACAGCTTTGTTTACACTAGTAGGTTATTTTAGATCCCCCAGAATAAAATGTATACCTTTTCTTTCTTTCTAGTTAGTTAGTTTTTCCTTTATATTACTATGTCTTTTTAAACATCATCTTCCATAGCTCAGATTTTCAGTTTTAATCTGGTCTGTGTCATACGATAATTATGAGCGGTAGATCTTAGCAGCTTAAAAAATTGGCTTGGCTCTAGCTGTGGTGGAGGGCAATCGACAGGGTTGAGTTTCTCAGCATGCTCGTGCGACAGACTGCCAAGCAACGGCAAGTGTGAGTGCCTGACTGATACGAGGGCCATGCTGCTCATCTAACCAACACTCAGCCCTCCCAAGTGATGATTTGCAGTGTGAAAAGAAGGTCAAGCTGGTTGGGATATAAATCAGAGGAGAAGACATCAAGCTGCCCTTGGTCTCCAAGCAGACGTGACATTAAAACTGGAAATTATTCAGTTGTGGGAAAACCAGATATTTAAGAAATGGAGTAATCAACCCATGATTGAAAATTTCTACTGATCAGATGTTTTTTATTCACAATACGGTGCCTGTTAGTTCAATGCTGGCCAGTCGCTGAAATCCGTGGAACGTCAGTGTAAATATCAGTCCTGGGAGGTCATGGAAGATGTGGTGAAGACAAATGATATAGGACACCCCCTTCCTCTTCAACAAGAGACGCACGCCTCTTCTTCACAACAGACTCAAAGTTAAATTAATTTTAATCCACAGCAAAAGATTTTATATAAAAACATCCCTGCCCATATACATCCTAGGATTTTGATCAGCAGCCTTTCCTGATACAAGCACATCTGTCATTTGTCATTGTATGTATGTGTTGCACTCATCTTTGTGTAAAATTGTGTTATAAAATTAGCTGATACACATAAGCCAGGATTTGCGAATAAACAGCCGAATATTGAATGCGACCTGAATTAAACTGCACTTCACTCCTCAGTTTCAGTTGGTAATTAGTGTCATGTGATTATATTTACTTTTGTAAATTCTACTCTGGAATGTTTGCCCTCAAGCACAAGATTACCGATGAACAGTGATCTGAACTAGTTGTGCCAGTCTTTAAAAAATGCACACATTGTTCAGAAAGTAATTCATAATCGTTTCGATTGCGTAGAAAATGAAGTGTATTGAATTGTAGCCTCATTTATCAAATTAAACACCACAATGCTCATGCATTATGCCTGACATAAAGAATAGAATATGAGCAGTTTAAATTTCTTGCTATCTCACAGTGGACATCCCTCTTCTAAACAAGGTCATAGTCAAGGGTCATTTCTAATTAAGCCATTTTTTAATAATAAGTGCTTTCCAATGCAGCACACCATCTGCAGTAACCAAGCATAAATGTACACAAACAATTAGCTTTACATGTGACACATATAGGTGTATTACTGCAGAGCCGTTCTGTGTTCACCTGTCCTGGCAGAGGGATTTAAACCAACTTGCAGAGGTTGCATTGCTCTATTTGCTGGGCTCTCATAGCAACGGCAAAGTGCAGCATGGAATCCCACTATGATGAATGACCAGGCAGATAGGAGGAGCCAAAGGGGGGAATCTTCCAAGCCTGTTTTGTTTAATTACCAGCCAGTTAACGAGCGAGCCAGTTTGATTAGGCACAGCGGGGAAATGCTATGTGCCTGTTCATTAAAGGCGCTTCAGAACTCAGGAGCTCTTGGTTAGACTAATTCGGCCCTTGGATAGTACAACGACACTTCCAACCAGGGTCATGTTTGTTTTATTTATTTATTTTTTTTTAAAGCAGACTCTTCCAAGCAGCCCTATGATACACAGCCCCCCCTACCAGGGTATTTCCTGACAGATCACAGCCCCCGCTGCACATGGGTCTCATGCATATAGACATTAATGAGAATCAGGAACTTCACCATGACGATGAATTAAAGAGCAGGTACCGGAATAGACAGTGTCCACTTCTATTTGGCTTTGTATTACAATTGGTTTTATAAGCAAATGTTACACAGCAACTTTTTTTTTTTTATCCAAAATTTTTGCTTTTTATGTGATTCATAATTAATCACACACCCACTGGCCATTATTTCTCAAATGCAGACATTTGTGAAACTAAAGACATTTTGAAAGTTAGACATAAGCAAGGGTGGTTAGAGCAGCAACGAGAAAACAAGACGTGAGAAGCATAATGACTCAGAGAGGGATAAAAATATCTCTCAAAATCAGCTCAGACACACTGCTCAAGTCATAGTATATTATTATTCAAGTAACCCATTTCATTTTTTTAACTGCTGACAAAATGCCAGAATTACTTTTTTATTTTACATTTATTTAAAGCAGGGGTGTCAAACTCCTGTCCTGGGGGGGGGGGGGGCAGCCCTGTGTAGCTTAGTTCTTTCCGTGTTACTCCACCAATGATTCAGCTGAAGAGCTGTGTGGTAATTAGCACAAGGAGTTGAATCAGGAGTGTTTAATGAGGGCGACCCCAAAAATGTGTAGGATCCCACTGATATAAAATATATACCATTCCAATATGGATTGCTTAAATTAAAGAATGGTAGCAAATATATAGTCACAATAAGATCAGTTATTAAGACGGTTTAAAATTCTCCTGTCTAAATACTGTTCAAACAACCAATGAACTGAACCAAAACATGAAGCCTGCAGTGGCCAATTTTCAAGAAAGTCTGTGAAAAGGTTTAAAAATGTAATTTTCATAAGCTCAAGGTGAGAGCATTGCTAGGCTTTTGTAGTCTATTTTCTTACTGTATTTTCGCATATAGGGTGACAACACATGATGTAACTGCTATTCTCTGACTTGTAGCTGATTGGATGTGAGGCTAATGGTGTCCCTCCTCCCTTCAATAAGCTGCTCATTAACACATCTGGATCTCGCACGCTGCAGCCTGTTACCGCGCTGTGCAGCACCGTTTACCTTTTTGCGAGTCGAGCTATGCGCATTGCTATTTCTGTGCCGTAAACATGATCTTTACACCTGACTGTTCAGAGGAAGAGATACAGTCTAAAAACAAACAGCCACAGTAAAGCCTGAATGGTGAACCTCAAAAAAATATCAAGATGAGAGTCACAGAATGCAGCTGGACTAAAAAGTAGGTTTTTCCTTCAAATGCATGAGTTAAAAAGTACTGCTGGCAGAAAATGTAATAGAAGTTGTTAATAGTTTTACATGTGAGTAAGTTTAGGTCATTAGTACTCACTTTTGGACATAAGACAGGTGTTTGATCGGCCTTTGACTGTAATTTATTTAACTGTCTTTAATAATAATGGCCAGAGGAGATGAAGAGTGAGGGACGAAAGGAAAACTACAGCAACAAAAGGCAGAATGAATTGCCTGTCCTGCGATCAATATTCAATAATCTTTCTCTGTTCTGTTTGGAAGACTAGATGTGAAAATATTACATCTTGGTGAGTTTTTTTTTCCATTTCAGAAGAAGCCAGATAATAGGACGGCCTCAAGTTGCTAATGAGTTTGAAGATCAGACATTTTCACACCAATATGATGAAGGGACAGAAAAACCTTCACATTTGCTCTCTTTAAAGACATGTCACAAAGAATAAATTTCATCCTTCAGCGATATTAAAGGATGTCAGAGTCGCAGGATTTATGGATGTATATGGATTTATGGATGTGTGTGGATGTTCTTTCTGCTTCCACCTAGAACTAACATACTCCTGGATCTTCAATGAATTTCCCTCGTTCGTGAAGCAGGACAATCGTCGATTCGTGTCACAGGAGACGGGGAACCTGTACATTGCTAAGGTGGAACCGTCAGACGTGGGCAACTACACCTGCGTGGTGACCAACACAGTCACTAAGGGCCGCGTGCAGGGCCCCCCTACCCCCCTGGTGCTGCGCACAGATGGTAAGGGCCTGCAAGTGAGCTTTACAGCACCTCGCTACTGCTGCTTCGCATTCCATCGCTGGACATTCATTTATTTCAGTCTCCAACTTCAGGAAAAAAAAAACAAAAAAAGACTTTGAAAAATTGACAAAAGCCCCCTGCAGAAAATGCCGGCAAGCTTAAACCGTCTGGAAAGTTTCCCTAGCAAAACATTAACCTAGAAAAGTCAATCTCCACAGAAACACCTAGAAATAGGCCGTTGAGTTTTGAAGAACACAAATTACACGCAAAGGTTAATTGGCTGCTGCTTCTGAGCGGCACAGAATAACGATAACGGCGTTACATGTGTAGTTAGCTTGTGGGCCGGGCTCAATGTATGACCTTTGACTGTAAAGTTCAGCTCTCCGAGAATGATCTGAAGGGTAGCCGCTGTCTAGCCTTTGCTTAGTCGATGAAGATATATCAAATTCAGCAGAGGAACGGTCAGCACGTCTCAGTGGTCGCGAAAAATGGCACTCGCATCCAGTCAATTGTCTCTGCTTTTTCGCTGAAGCTTCCTTAAACAATGAATGAAATATATAATTAAATGTGATTTATGATTTTAATAAACGTGATAAATATGCATGACATTGACTGGGGCACACATTACAATGTTTTTTGAGATATAAAACACACTCTGCTGGGCAAAAATTTAATTAATGCCTAAATGAATGATTGCATAATGTTTGTTCTGGCCTGCAATCCTTTGAAGATAGCGTGTATTCCATTGTATGCATTGTATTGTTTTTGACAATATTGCTAATTATTGAACAATTGCGTGTATAACAACAACAATTGTAAATATGTAGTCTATGCTGTGACATTAGGCCCCTAATTAATATGAACCTTAATCACTGCCTTGAATTCAGTGTAATCCTCTAATTATGTTTCATTTGAAGTAATATACAAAACCAATGTAGGGCTTACATGTGACAAAAGTATTTTCAGATGTTAAAAAACTGTTCCTATTTACTTCCTGTAAAAAAGGCACAAACTAATTGGATGCCATCACAAAGGTTTTTCACCTAAAATATATTAGCAGTAGAAGTAAAGGTGTGAGAATGGCCATAGAATGTGCAGCACGCAGAAGCACGGGCTTGTCGCAGAATTAATGTAAGTGTCCCCCAGCTGCCTGACAGTGAGTCTGTATGATTCTGCTTAGGTTTCAATGAGAGCCAGAGATGTAGTGCTGATGTCATGCTGGCGGGGGCGCTAAGTGTCTGCGTGCGTGTTTCTTTTTTCCATTAATTTTCACACTATTAATTGCCTTACTGCTTCTGTCCGCCTCTATATGCTTATATATTTATTTTTTCTTTGATGTGTGCTGTAATTAAAAGGTCGAGCATTCCCTTGGTGCTACACGTAACCGCTTCATTGTGAACTAGAAACCCAATTAATTTGAGCGGCACACGGGGCATAGTGAAATTACGTCTCCTGCCAGGTGATCATAGTTCAGAAGGCCTACATGTCACTCCACCTGCCTCATTCCACGCCGTGAGTAGGATCTTACCTTCCTGATTGCATTAGCTGGGTACAGATAAGGATCTATTAGCCTTCCACTGCCAAAAAGCTATCTAGATAATGCATGGCTCGAAAAATTCACATCTGACGAGAGAAGATTGTCTTTTTCTTCTATCTCAAGCTGAATCTGGTTTCGGAACACCAGAATGTTATGGAGAAAAATCGCCTTAAAGACACATAAAGACAACGGGCAAGATGAACAAAGGATCCAGAAGGAACCTTTAGCCCAGAGCAGGGACTTGTGGTCAGACATGCACTTGGTGTGTCATTCGAGTGCCGGAATTTTCTACCCCTCAGGCGTGATGGGGGAATATGAGCCCAAGATTGAAGTCCAGTTTCCGGAGATTGTCCCCGTGGCCAAAGGATCAACTGTGAAACTGGAGTGTTTTGCACTGGGAAAGTAAGTTTCGTGCAGCCGGTCTGTTCTGTGCTGCTCGGTCCTCCGCTCCCAGTCTCAGATGGGCCTCTCCATATGCCCCATTCCTCCCAGGAACACTTCCGGAAAAGCATGAACCTGAGAGGATAAGCGATTATTTCCAATGGAGGGATAGATATGTGCATTGTGTGATTTGGGGTGGTATCGATACCAACAGAAAAACAGCAACAGTAACGCTACTTCATCACACCTCAGGAGATGGGGGCTCCAGTATCACCCCCCAGTGTGTGAAGTTGGTTTGCATGTTCCTCCTTCCTCCAATCCAAAGATATGGAGCTGAGCTAAATATTCAATAGCGTATGATTGTGTATGTGTGTGTGTGTGTGTGTGTGTGCGAGCAGGTATGCCTTACCTTATGGGGACGTAATGTCCCCACAACATGATGAATACCCATTTTTTTCCCTTATGGGTACCAGTTTCCTGGTCAATTTAAACTCAATTTAATAAAAATTTGTCACTGCAATGAAAACGCCAAAACACTTCTGTATTTTGCTTGGTTACTTATGGTTATAGTTAGGACTGGGTAGGGATTAAGGTTGTCATAGTTAGCGTTAGCATTTTTCCCATAGAAATGAATGAGCGGTCCCCATAAAGATATGTTTATCTAACTCTGCGTGCGTGTGAGTGTGTATATGTGTGTGTGCGCATACATGGGTGAGTGTGTATATAAGTGTGTGTGCATGTGTGTATGTGTGAGTGTGTATATGTGTGTGCTTGAGTGTGTGAGTGTGTATGTAAGTGTGCGTGCGTGTGTGTGTGAGTGTGTATAAGTGTGTGCCTGCGTATGTGAGTGTGTGTGTGTGTGAGTGTGAATGTGTGTGTGTGTGTGTGCGTGCGTGTGTGTGTGTTCGTGTGTGTGTGTGTGCCCTGAGATGGACTCGCACCCCTATCTTGTGCCTTGTGCTGCCTGGGATAAGGCACCAGGCCCCCCCCCCCCCCCCCCCCCCCCCCCCCCGCTCCCCTGACCAGGATAAGTGGTTAGTAGATGGATGGATCGTGGTACGTTTTTATCAGTGCCATGTGCACAGCAGTAGGTGCATTTGTAATGGTGTATTTCACACCACATCTAATAAATAATATTAATTAGCGTAACAAATAAGTCTCACATGCATCTCCTCTGTGTGTATAATTTAATTTAATTAGCCCAGTGCCCAGCATCAGCTGGAGAAGGGTGGACGGAGTCCCCTTTTCACGGAAGGTGGACCTGAACAGGGCCAGCGGTGCCCTGGAAATACCCTACTTCCAGCAGGAGGACGCCGGCGCGTACGAATGCCTGGCAGAGAACTCCAGGGGCAGGAACACTGTGAAAGGAAAGCTGACTTTCTACGGTAAGTAGATTTGGAGAGCATGAATATTCCAGCAGAGCAAGCTAGATATGACAGATTTCCTCAAACGGAGGAGTCATCAAAGATGAAATAAAGTGCACTTGTGTCTTCTGCAATTGGTAATCAGTTTCTTAGCACAGAAATACATCTTTCCATATGAAGGCTTGTCAATTACAATGTTATTTTCATCCGGCATGAAAGAGTCACACAGACTGGGAACTTAGACAAGATGTACAGTAAGTAGTTTTAGTAGAGAGGCTGCCACATGGCAGAATTATTTCTATTCACATACAGTACTATAATTATTACAATGTATTATCAAGAAAGGATGTTTTTTTCTTGAAACCAGTGTTTTGTCAATACAGTGGTAAGTTGGGATATCGCAGGCATATTTCTTGTCATTAACCCATTGTTCGTTCCTCTATTCTTCCTTTCAGTGTTACAGATTGTAGCATTTATTGAAGAGGTTTAGGATTTTGGACAGTTTCATAAAAAGCACTATCGCTCTGTGACAGAAAATATGTCAGGAAAAGATTTTGTGTTCTTCCTCCTCATAGGTGACCTAATTTTTTTTCTGGTGTTTATTTTCAGAATCATTTTGCTTCATCTGTCAATAAAAATCTAGTTCTGTTGATCACCTGATCCATCTGTCACCCAACAACAGCTAAATAACAGGTTTTATGAAATTCCATTACAGTCTGTCTATTAGTCAATTATTTAAAATGATTTAATCGAAGTTGTGTTTTATTTTTGATAACAAAAACTAAAATTTGCTATTCAGGTCGTTTTGCAACGTCCTTATAAGCATGTTTCATAGCTCATAGACAAACACCTCTCACCATATATATGCCCCCCCTTCCCTGATTCTTCTATTTCACATATTGTAGCCCTGAAGACAAGGTAATTAATCACCTTGCGATAAACTCCAAAAGGATTTAAAACTCTCCATTTTACAGTTGAAACTGGGGGGAAAAAACTGAGTTGTAAAAAAAATGTAGGAAACTAGGGACCAGAAAAAACAGTTCAGTTAACAAGGCTAGTAATGTTTCCAGTATGAGGTGCGTGGAATCCACCTTATTCCTATTCAGTCTGAGCAGCACTTATTCCTATGATCTATACTGTATGTTGATTTTCTCCCTCCTTAACCACATTCTGTTCAATTGGCTCACCCTCTTACAATCTATGAGTCAGTCTATCATCTGTCAGGGATACCTCATTCTGTACATTAAACTATTTTATATTATTTACTCCTCTCTCAAAGTCCCTAGTGCCAGTAAATAATGTTAAATAATGGAATCGGGGACCGTGGTCGTTACGATTTGTCCCACATTGGGCAGAAAAGAGTCCTTCTCCAATACTTGGAATCTCTCATTGTAGTGACACAGGATTATGCATTGAAACCATACATTATGTGCTGGAGTAGAAAGAAAAAGTGCTTGATATTTCAAGTGCCGTATTTTTGAGGGCCGTTGTAACGGGCCTGTGTTCCTCCAGTTTAATAAAATCGGTTCCATTGTCATCAAATTCTCTTTTGCTGGGAACATTGTGTTTCCTATTGTAGCCATTTCATCTGTTTGTTGTTTCATTGCAGCTCCTCCACACCTGTCAGAAAGACCCGAAGATGTGCAGAAGTCCATTGATGACAGCCTGCTGTGGGAGTGCAAGGCCAGCGGGAAGCCCAAGCCCTCCTACCGCTGGCTGAAGAATGGAGAACCTCTGGAGACCCTGGAGGTCAGCAGTCCCACTGTGGAAAATACCACGCTGTGAACTGAAGGGTTTCTCAGCATGCAGCTGTTGTAGATAAACAGCTAATTGTGTAATTGTGCCAGAAGGTTTTAAGTGCTCGCTGCATGTAATTTGGCTTGGTCTTTGAACCATTTTTATCCACTGGAAATTTTGAGTTCCACCATCACTGAAGAAAATCCTCAGTATATATCTCAAATATATTGCTTTCTTCTGTAGGAGGAGAATTTGAATCTATGTGCTTTCATCCCTTTAGAAGCTGAACTTCACAGCACGTTCCCAGAGTTCAATAACATAGGATCTCTAGTAAAAACGGTGCAATAAACAATGGCAGATTTGTGGACGTCACTGTTAAATGCTGGTCATTACAATGATAACGAGCATCTGTATTATGAAACATTGTTTCCATCATCTTTTTAAGTCAGCTGAATTGAAAAATATTTTGCAATTTTGCTAGATTGCCAGCTACATAACATATATATCTCTGCAATTGTTATGCAAATGTTAGCTAATGTGCATTGTAAGCTATTCTGAATTTAAACTTCTGAAAATGCCTAAACACTGGTAACTGCACCTAAGCCCCAAACAGTCATAGATACAATTATTCCTATGTGTAAAATTCTTATGCTTCTCAGATATTAAAAAAAACTATGCGACGCACATCTTAGGGCATGAAAATCTCAATACCCAAATTAAAAATGTTAAACAATTTGTATGTTTGCAATACCTTGGGGCTGTGCTTAGAAAGATCTCTCTTTTATGTAACAAATATGGATTCCCACTCTGGACGAACTGGGACATAATAATAGTAATAAAAAGTGTTATTGTTTGAATTCAATAACGCCCTGTTAAGACAGAGAGTGCCAGTTCAGTTATACATTCAGCTACATGTCTAACGCTTCACCTAGAGAATGATTACAAGAAGAATGTTAGCTTTGTGCTATTCGCCTCAGTTCTACATCGCTTTAGACAAAAGAGCCGCTATAGAAAGTAAATGCAAATGTGATTATAGTGATTTCAGAGAAATGTGTCGGCTGCTATGAAGGGGCCACATTACAGGAGATCAAGGAATGTTTTACTGATGGTCTTTATTAGCTCAGGCAATAAAATGAATGTACCTTTTTTAGATAGATTGTCATTATATGAAGACAAAACTATATGGCTCGCAGGTCCTTTTCAACCATTTTTCCATTATGTTCATTACTCTAGAGACAGATAACAGTATTTAGTGCACCTTTGTTTCCAGAAAAAAGGCTCCACTTTGTTCACTTTCCCTACACAGCACTTAGGATTTAGAATCGCCTAAAACATCTATCTGGTGCTTCTGATTCTAATAGTTTTAAAAACCAAATTGCAAACAAGCAAACAATTTTATGGTAGTCTTAAAACACGATGATGTAACAGCCAGAGTAATCTTCTGTTAAATCTCTCCTCTCCGACTGCCATTAATCCTGCGTTCCCTTAAGGGGAGAAAATCGAGAGGGCTTATGAAATGCACGTTGCATTTGCGACACGCTGCATCTCGGCCCTTTTCCGATTTTTCCGTGACACACCACAGAGACCAATTGTTTGTCTATAAATATGTGTCACTTTTTTATTTTTCCGAGCAAAATCAATTGATTTTTAATGGTCGTGCTGAATTTAGAAAGGAGTATTCATGTTATTCTGAAAAAGTCATAGCTTAGAACTTTCACCCGGAGTATGTTAGTACAATGAGGTCAGAGATTTTGCGGGAGATTGATACTGTGTTCCAGCCACAGCTTGGATGTAATAAATAAACAGACTTTTATGTTAATTTTCTTCATTATACACAATGGTCACAAACAAACCAGGGGGTATCAATCAATGCACAAACATTATACATGTGGAATAAATGAAAATTTTGATTTCTGGCAGCCCACTAAACAACAGGCTTTATTTTAGCTCATAAAAGGAGATTAGAAATGGTTTTACAGATGATAAATAACAATCTGTCAGGTCTTTGTGTGGTGATACGAGAAAAAAATTAACTAATGTGTTCTCTTTGATAAACCGTAAACCATCTGCTACCCACAAACTCTTATGCAAAAGCTAACTGACTAAAAAGAGAGAATCTTTTTCTAGGCTACTGCTGTAAAGGGCTGATTTCTCTCTAGACAAATGCCACAAGTCAGTCATCAAAGATGGACGGATACCACAACATCTAATGAGCCCCTGAACCACACAGGAGATTTAAGGACTTGTACTACAGCCACTGATCTGGAATTACATTTGTGTAAATGTTCAGCTGTGGAAGAGGTTTGCTTGGGATCTTTGCATTTTGTCTTTTGATGAATTAATCAGCAGTGGCGTTATGCTTTTGGAAATGTCAACATCAACTGCTGTGCCTTTTAATATGTTTGATAACAAAAGGTCACTGATGTAGTGCAGGAAAGCCTCCACTACATCAGCCTTTGTCGTTACTTGTAACAATGTATCAAACGGGGTCTTTCTGCTTTGCATGTACGTCAGCAGTGTAAGAGCGACTGCCGCTTTCGGTAGCCTTCATTTGTTGGAGCTATTACAGTATTACAGCGATATTCTACCTTTATTTTTGTCTTGTGTAACACATTGTACATTACGCAACAGTTTTATAGGTATTTCTGGTTAAAGTATATCCCATTTAAAGAAAATAATATATGTAAACCATAAAATGTACTCGTGTGAAACATTTCATGTACAAAAAAAGTAGGAGTTAATTATAGCTACCTGCTTTAGATGCGATATCTCGAACGAAAACTTCCTAGACATGGCTTGGAAAGATGCATTTAGAATTGTTAAACAGTTTGACTGCATATATGATAATATAAATGGCTTAATGCTCATATGGCAATTATTTTAGGCTGTTAAAAAAAGAATTCGAAATTCTACGGAGCAATTAGCTCTGGCGTCCCTGCAGAGCAGCAGTCTCAGCTGCAGGCAGCTTGGTGCGTTTAGCTTAGCTTTTGTTCTATCAGCTGAGTTGACCTGATAGCACCAGAACTGACATTGCCAATCATTCCCATTCAGCATAAGGCATGCAGATGGTTCCCACCGGTCCCCATGAAAAAGCGCTGATTTCAGGCGAACGTCATGCCTAATTAATGGCGGCCGCAAACCCAAGAGTGCCCGCGCGAGGACTGATACGCGGCACCGTTTGTCTCCTCTGCCAGGAGGCGTATTCGCCCTGTGTGTCCACGTCCTCGCACGCCCTGCCGCCCAGACAGGGCCTGTTCAAACACAGGATTAGCGAGTGATGTTTCTGCGAGGACAGCCTCGCTTTTCATGTGACAGTACCTTAATCCTTTTTGAGTAGAGACATCCCCATTCAAAGGCCCTCAGGAACTGCATTCTAATGACATTAAGAGTAAGCGCCAGAGAACAGGGAAGATCAAACGCGAGCTGAAAGGGAATCCTCTATGAAATCGACTACAAATATGGAGTTAAAAGTTACCCTTTTACTGAAGGATAGAAACATTTAGAGCTAGTCATCACATGTTTTTAATGTTTATCATTTAGAAAGTTTTGGGAAGTTTTGTGAAATTATGTAACTGGTAAATTCTATTAAATACAGATAGAACTTCTATGAATGTATCAAAGCAGATGTGATTTGTTTCCTCCTGTAGCTATTTAGATAAAATGGATGAGTAGTGTAGATGTTTGGCTTAGTTATCAAACAAAATGAAAGACAACGTGACCCAGGAGTACTCTGTCAGAGTTGGGTAATTCAGGTCCAGAGAGTAAAAATCCAGACCGGGATTTTGTTTCAACCAACCAGTTGAGTATAAAGAGTCACAGTCACAGAGTACTCAACTGGTAGGTTGAAACAAAATCTTGGTCCTTGGACCTGAATTACCAATCTCTGTACTCTGTAGAATGTAATGTAGGTCATGTTGATCTGTTTTACTTGCCGGCGCCCGGCGGAGACGACTTTGGAAGCTGAATGAAATCAAGAAATTAAGAATTACTTGTGCATGTGGTAAAAGATCTAATCTGTGTGTCAAGAGATTGTACTGAGCAGCCTGCGAATAGAGCCTTATTCACACATGTACCTCAGTAAGTGTCTGCTCCAGTAAAAATGTGTTTGTACTTAATTGATCTGTTAGTCTGCCACAGGTGAAACCTCTTTTCTTTAGTATGTACCTTGCCCACTCTCATTTAAAGAACTTGTGTGGGCTACGGCTTTATTTATGTGCCATCATCACACAGGAGACTAATCGCCATCATTTCCTGCCAGCCATCTTCCTTGATGGTTCAGTGTTGGATCTCAATACTGTAACTGTCTTTGGCTCCTTAATGTCATACTTCTTTGCAGTGTTCACTGGAAACTTAAATAGCTTCTGTTCAACACACCTACTGCACGTACTATCAGACATGTTAAACCAGTGTGCTTTGGAGATTTACATTAAGATGAATAAGAAATCATTACGTGGGATGGTGTAACTGCAAGCTATAAATCATATTAACATATAGGGATTCATAATGAAATTTAGTCGGAATATTAAATACTAGTAGAATGTATGTGTTTGATTGTAAGTTTATTGAAGTTTTGCTACATGCAAAATAATATGCCCCTTGTTTTTAATTTTTGGTTTTTGGGATTTTTTTTTTTCTTCACTTTATTAACCATGAAAATATTCAATATTCAAGTTTAATGGACGAGCTGAAGGGCTGTTTTACCTCAAAAATGAAGCGTAATACTACTGTACACGTCAGTAGCAGTCCTAACTGCTCCCTCAGAAGGCGGCTGCTTGACCAGCCCTGGTTCACTGTATAGAAGACAAACATCGAATGTAGAAAAATACACTAAATGACTTGGATGTAGTGTATTCACACAAAATGTGATGTATCTCTTTTAAAGGAGAGAATTCAAGTCATAAACGGAGGTCTATCAATCAGCAGACTGATGCAGACCGATGCTGGGATGTATCAGTGCGTAGCCAGCAACAAGCACGGGGAGGTCTACAGCAACGCGGAGCTGCGGGTGATCGGTAAGGGCACCGGGCACCGGGCACTGGGCACCGCGCTCACAGGCCTGCGCTGAAGGGAGCACCGTCCGCCACCCCCATAATTACTGGGCTCATAATAAAGAACCCCCCCCCCTGCCCCGCACCTGGTGATGCTCCCTCACCATTAATACCAGCAATTCCTCCACTGCAGTCGCCAGTATGCTTTTCCTTCAGCCTATTCCCTTTCACTGGCTTTTTCCAGGACTGGAGAGTTATCCACCTACTCCTCCAAACGCGTGTCGATTGGCGTTAATACGCGGCGATGTCGCGCAGCCCTACTTTTTGAGCACTGCTAGCGCTTTAGCCGCTCATTAAAAACAAAGGTAAATGAGGCCCCCGGTAAAGCTAATTTGGGCAGGAAGGGGCATGACACCTTCTCTTTTTAAATGTTTTCCTCCGATAAAACGAATTGCTTTTAATTAGAGATGTGTTCTCCACAGTTCTGCTGTTTTACATCTCTTTGTAAAGTTACCGCTGCTGAGCAAGGCGACATTCATCACGGGCATCAGCGTCTGTGAGCTGCATAAACCCTTCGGGAATTTCACGGCACAGCACCTCCGTTCGCAGATGCGTTTCGTCGTAACTCATTTGACAAGCTGCTCAGCTGATACCACAATTGAAAGATTGAGAAGCTTATTGTCCTGTGGGTTGGATCTGGCTTCTCTGCTCTGTGTTCGGTTCGGAGGAGACGTGTCTGGACTGAGTACGGTGAGACTGGCAGCAAGGTTCCCTCATGTGTTTAATTTACCTGTTTTCTCCTCAGCTGTCGCCCCAGATTTTTCGCAAAACCTACTTAAGACGCACACCCTGGTGAGGGAGACTGGGGACGTGTTGATCGAGTGCAGGCCAAAGATGTCTCCCCGGGGAATGATATCATGGCGGAAAGGGAACGAGGCTCTCCGCGAGAGCAAAAGGTACACCGTCTTGAGCCAAATAAATCAGTTTACGCTGGATATGATATTTATTGTCTCGTTGCTCTCGTGGCTGGATTACTTTGCGAGCTCAAGGGGCCGCTCTTCATCAGAAGGGTGATAGAAGGGAAGTAGCGGCACTCTTCACTTCAAGAATTATGATAATGTTTTTGTGTCGAGATCCTGCGCCAGACAGTATATCTGTGTCACACTGTTTCTCCTCCTAGACAGGAACGCCTTTTCTGTCCACATTTATCAAAAGGTTCAATGACAATGAGTTGTTTTTTTTTCTTTTGGCCTGATATTCTTACTTATTTTCTACATTTACTCTCGGCCTTCTCAGTGCGGGCAGCTGCTGATGTCGGCAGCCCGTATCAGGCTGTGCGCGAGAGCCCGTGGGTGGACAGGGTGGAAATGAGCCCCTCCCGTGCTCCTTGGTGTAAGAATCAGCGCCCCCCCGGGCACAGTCTGGGTGTTAATCAAGCACTTTGCAGCCTCTCTGGGGGTCCTGAGTCTGCTGTCTTGTACCCTGCCTGGAACCATATGTTTATACTATTTTACTTTTGAGAGAGAAAGTGTAAGAAGTGGACAGACCTTCCCCTTGAGCAGACAGGCCTGTTGGCGAAGACCGGCAGGGTCGATTCTGATGCCGGGTGTCACTGACCCAGGGATAGGTCACTCACCGTCTTCTGCAGCCTGCGAGCGCTTGTGACAGCAGTGCTGTGTGATTCTGAGAACTGGGCAATGTTTTTCCACGAACAGACTCTGAATTTTTGGCAAGATCTGAGGCGATTTGCATAGAGGTTGTGCTGCTGGTACCCTTCAGATGGTCTTTCTGGAGAAGAGCCTTGTCCTCAGGGTATAGTAATGACTCTGAGACTTTTTTATATATTTGTTTTATATAATTAGCAGAATATGGCATTTAAGACAGCTATTAATTTTCTATAACTAAAGTGAATTCGTGTTCATTCACAGTACATCGTATGAGAAAAACAGAAATGATATTTTTGCTATATGTAAAAACATGGGCATTCAGAGGATTCCTGTTGAAATTACGTTGGAGACATTATTTGCTTGTTTATTTACATTTTTGGATTTCCGAGACCCTGAACTGGAGCTGAAGTAACTGGTCTGACAGCCCAGATTTCCTGTGATGGCTGCAGTTCACCACAGAAAATATCACTACATTAATCAAACATAATTACACAACCTGCCCCCTACTCATGTAGTTCTGTGCTTTTGTTGATATTTACAAACTGACACATTAAATTCTGCATAATAACTGAGAAGTTTGATGGCAGAGTAACAGCTTTACTTGTAGTTCAGTTCAGTCCAGCCTTGATGCCCCAAATAATGTAGATCCTTCCAGGTTATGGACACCAGGGGCCTCTGACCTCTTAAGCAAAGGGCCCCTTCACTGCCATTTAAAATGTCTGGGGGCTGGGCTGAATGTGTGTGTGGGGTGCTAAATGTGGGGGAGGGGGTAATGTGGAGGTGCTGAATATGGGGGGGGGGGGTGGCTAGGCTTGGCCAGTAATGAAAAAAATGCTGTATACCTCTCTGCAAATTTTAACAGAAAATGCCTCATACTCCGATTTAATATCTGGGTGGTATGATGTTACTATAAATTAGATGCCGCTCAAGCCTAGTGGTGGCTGGGTGTTTGGAGTGGTTGGGAGCCGGCAATAAAATTCACCAATGAGTACAGGTGGCGGCGAGATTTGTTGATTGGGGGGGTTGCTGCCAAGCAGATGGGGGCGAGCTGCGGAAGTAAAACTTCTTGCCGAATAAGTTAACCACTGCTAAGCTGCGGATGAGCGGATTTCCGGGGGGTCGCATGTCATTGGTGGGTGTCAGGGACCTGCTGCCAATTCGCGGGAGACGCCTGGAACTTCCGGGAGATGTGGGACGTCTGCACGTCCGCATTTATGCGATTATGTAGCAGGTGAAGTTTCTATGGATGCTATTCGGCTACGTTTTTCATTACACATTTATGCGCGTCATTTCGAAAGACGCACAGCAGGATGGACTATATGCTGATGGTCGTGTCAAGGCTGGTCAAGTTAAGGAAGGCCCATAGTCTGAGGAGGAGTCCTGTGTCATCCCTATGAATGCTTCATTTTAATATTTTTTTAATATTATTATCTCCTTTTCATAATGTAGTGTTGACATTGTGTCACGAAAGCCAGTAACAGGGTTAGTTAATAGAGCTGCAATTAAATATTTCTCACTTTTCACTTTGCCCTAAAAAACAGGATTTATCATTTTTAAAAATATTTATTATACTTATTTAAATGCATTTAATGTTAAAAATTGTCTCCTTATATTGTGACATTCTGTTAGCAGTCTGGTCTGACAAAAACAGGGGTCTGGCGACAGGGGTCTGGCCTGCAGACTGCCTTAACAACCTGCCGTGTCAGTCTGCCGCTCTACTGAGCTGCGATGGGAGATGTTTTAGCTGTTAATTGGTGGGGGAAATTACTGTACCATTGCTAATAGCTGTGGGTATTATTGCAGTTGGCAGAGAGAAAACACAAATGACATCATTATATTGTGGAAAAGTGCACAGGTGCATTTTTTTTCCCTCCCAATGCCAGTGAATAATCAAAGTTGCACCTCCACAGTCGTATTGCTCAAGATTAATTGCATTAATTGCATTAGTGCTCTATGGGGGCCCTTTGGGGGGGGAGGAGAGTTGGTGTCACTAGTCAGGTAATCCATCTTAATAGCCGCAGCCTTTTCGGCAGGAAGCCGGGAGTGGGGATGTCTTATCTCACTCAGACAACCCTGCAGGGACGCAGTTTAGATGGCATCAGCTGGAATGCAGCAGCTGAGAAAGCAAGTTGGGCACATCGACGCGACGAGGGGGGGCATGTCTGCGTTTCCTGTGTGGGCTGGGTGGGGCTCCCCAGCCGCTGGAAGTCACAGCCCGTCTGTAAACCGCGACTTTTTCTCACTTTGTCACTACAGCGAAAAGCTTTCTTTGCCATATCCGCATAGCAAAAACGTATCGTGTCGGCACGGTTAAACAAGAGTCGTCACACCTAGTGAGGATGCAGAAAAATCATCATGTTAAAAAAATCACTTTTGGGGGGCAGGAGGGAGTGTATGAAACAGGAGAGGGAGCTGTGTTCAGCGCTGGAGTAGAACATGCAATAATTTCCTCTTTTTACAGAGAAGGCATGTCCTCAGTGTGAAAACTGCGAAAGAGACAAACCCTAAAGGAGTGATAATTTGACCATCTTAGGGGTGTCTGCTGGACTGTTAATCATAGCTGAGCGAAATCAGTTGAGAATTTTTGACTTTACCATGAATGCTACTTTTACTCTTACATCCGCACATGCATGAGTGTCGTTACTTAACGCAGTGCTTTATGGAATAGTAGACTGTACAGGACAAATAAAGGGATTTCAGGGATGGAACTTTTTACGCTTTACGCAGTTCTTTACCATTTGAGCCTATTAGCATCACACAGCCTGTTTAGTATTCTGGATGTGCAATAATGTAAATGAATAAAAATACTAAAATTAATAAGATTAACACAGCTGCCGTTGTTCCTCTGAATTCATATTAATTTAAAATGTTTATCATTATTGACTCTAATGCCCATTAAAAACTCAATTCATGTCTTGAAATATCAATGACTTTGTTGTATTTAAGCTAAACCACACGAGTGCCAAAACTGTGTATCATCTGCTTTATCATTATTTTAATAACAGAATGGGAACGCTGTGCTTTACATTAAACATCAGCTTTTCTTCAGGAACTGTATGTCTGTGTTATCACCTCCCAAGCAAACTGGCTGCCTATTGTTTTACTCCTTTGATCTTTGTAGCTTTTTTATAAGATAATGCGGGGAAATAATGTACGAAATAAACGGAATAACAGGAACGCTGTGGCTCTGGGAAGTGTGTGATCTGTTTTTGTGATTTTCATGCTCAGTTATTATGAATGTTCTTCTAAACTGAAAATTACATTTATCTTTTCAGAAAGCATTGTGAGCCCAATAAGACCCTCCACTACTGTGAAGCAAAATTTACCATAAATATAAATATACTATATAAATCTAAACAAAATGAAATGATCTATATCACATGAAATTCACGAAATTCATCACAGTTCAAACTGATATGATATATGTTAATATCAATGTCAATATCAGATATATTCTACCTAAAGAAAGTATCTACAGTGATCTGCTTCTGGTCAGATAATTACCTGAAATGGATTTCAACAAAAAGAATGAAGAATAATTTAAGTTGGAATGAATTCTGAAATATTACTACATCAAATTACCGTGAATCTGTACTGAATAAGGAGCAGGATTAGATAGATGGAAGAATTCATAGCTGCTTCACAACCTTTAATGTCTTCGGTGAAAACGCTGAGCATGCTGGGAGTCAAATTCCGGCTAATTCTACTTGTAGTGCCCTAATTACATGCAGTGATGTAATTCTTCAAACCTCCAGGAAAAACACATCACAAAACATATGTTTTGAGCCAGTTCTCCATTCTGCTTTGGAGATATTAAACAATGCTGCAGTAGAGACGTCGTTGGAATGTTACTGACGTGAAAACAGTAGTGATGTTGCACAAAGGAGGGATCATTTCAGTCTTAAATTCAATCTTGCTGTTGTAACAATAATCAGATTTATCTATACGGTCAGATATTTTGTCTAGCAGACCTGGCTGCCTGTAGATCTAAGCTAATTAGTATGTTCCTGTGTATGAATGCACCAATAAGCAGGTCAGTCCCTGTACTGATTGGTGTTTTGTGTAAATATCTATATTTTTTCTCTAAGGTTTTCTAGGCTTCTACTGATGCCCATGCTACAGTATATGAAAATAGGTAGAGTTATATATTAAGCAATGAAATATTAATTTTGAAGGATGATGCCAATATTCAATTTGAGGAGATAACTTTCAACATGTTGTATGTTAAAATGTTGTTTAAATGTCAGTGTAATTATTTATTTATCCATCATATTTCTAATTTTCTCAATTTATCTTAAATGAACATCTGCTCATAAGGTAAAATCTGTTTGCATATAACTACAGTAAAACCTTCCTCTGTCAGAGCAGAATATAAAAAAAACTCATTAACTTCCTGATGATAAAGTGGCCCATTTGTCTGACCAGCTGAAGTTTATTTGTACAGTTTAGTCTCATTCAGTGTTACTTACTGTCAACAAATGATGAACATGTCACCAAAGGAGATTCGAGGATTGGTGTATAGGAGAGACGTTCTACTAGGGGATCAGAAGAATTACAGGATTACACTTCTCTCTGGGAACTGGGCTGCGCAAAGCACCAGATAGCGTCCACAAAGTATCTGATGTGGTGGCTGTCGATCTGTTTAGGTGAAAAGCATTTTCTCACTTGTGGCTTTTATGGGCTATCAAGCTCATGGGCTATCAAGCTCTTTCAGGACAGTCGATACAGTAACGTATGCAACGGAATGGCATTGCTTAAGGCAAAGGCTCTGGATCAGTTCTCTACTTCTTATGTCTTAAAGAGAGGAATATCATGCAATGGACATACAGTAAACTTACCAAAACTATTTGTCATTTTACATACATCGAGCAGAATATGTCAGTTTTGTAAATAGTATGTATCTAAGCTATGCAGGGATATGCTATAATAATTTGTACTTGTATTTTCCAGTTGCAGTTCTATTCGTTGAGCTAAAAGAATAGTTATGAAAATGTCACAGGGATCTCTTTTGCCATATTCAGACAAAGAAGGATAAGGCTTGAATATGTATGACGTAATTCCAGTATTAATCATTACAGATTTGGCACCAGTAAATAGACACCTGGCCAGTTCTTCCTCGAGGCTGAATCCCACTGGTGTATTTGCTTTACATAATTGTATTTATTTATGTTCCTGAGAAATATTTCACCATCCAAGGCAGTATACGGTTAATGTGGACCTTGTTCGATTGTGCCAGAGGGGGGCAGTTTTGCCTATTTTCCCTTCAGAATCGTTGTGTGACATTCTGCTGGGTTGCCTGTTTTTTTGTGATGTTGAGGTAGTGAACCGGCGCGACACCTGGAAGTAGCTCAGCAATGGTGACAGCAGACCATAAAACAGCAGGATAGGAATCTTCTGCCCGCCCTGCTCGCACAAACTTGTTTGCTACATGGCTGAATATGGCTCCAAAGGTCGTTCTGCATGTTAAATGGATTATATATTGAAGTATTAATATGAGCGGAGAGGCGCCGATTATAGTCCGGCACGAAGTCACACGGTGATGTAGATGAGAGAGTCTGCAGGGATGACGTGTGTGTGAAACTCAGGAGCCAAGGTTAATTATTTTGTGAAATCACTAAAAGCGAAAGATTGGCCATTTTCCAAATTCACAATTAGCTGTATCACTTTTAGATTCTTATCTCCTTTTCCAGTCCTTTTTATTTACTCTGTTGTGGCAAAGTAGGCAGAACGTCTTTTCAGAGGTCTCATACTGAGATGGATGCCAGAGAGAGACTGCATGTTTGTTAGGAGAGACAGAGTGACCCAATGTTTACTAATTTAAATACACCAGATTTTGAAGTTAATAATTTCACATACTCACATTGCCCATTAGTGCCTTTCATGGTCTTCCTTTCTGACTGAACTCCCTACATGGGGGTCATGGGTTAAAACAAATGTGAATCACCATGTGTGACATTATTATTGATGCTTTTCTACATTTTAATGCATCCTGTGTCCTGGTTCTCTGTCGGTCCTTGATGTAGGATAAATGAAATTAAATATTTCTCTGTCGTTATATTTTTGGCACTTTGATGGGAAATGAATTCTGTAAGTTCAACCACATCAAGAAAACTGTAGTTGTTTGCTAGTTGTTCTCAGTCCTGACCTTCTGATGTTCTAAAGGATGATGCTATTGGCTGGTTTATGACCTTCTGATGTTCTAAAGGATGATGCTATTGGCTGGTTTAAGCAGCTTCTCCCTAAATGCCACCCTAACATTCTCAGTCCCATTTCCTCCAAATAGCATATGCCTGGGCACAGAGCTTTCATTAGGGGACACTCTATGATCCCCTGTGATAACATCTCAGCCAGAGTGCTGGTGTCTCCTTAAAAAACAGCCAGAGAATATAACCAGGGAGACTTCTACTTGAGACCGTGTAATTTTCCACAATTTGCACTTCAGAATGGAAGTGGCATTTTCCTTGGCATGCAGTTTTGTGCACGTCTTTCATCTCTCCGCAGAATAAACGCGAGTGCCCCTCTGCATGTCAGGATCTCCTTTTTGCAGGAGCTTCATACTCCCTGAACATTTGCAGCACTTTGAGGAAGATGATAGCGCATTTCAGGACTCCCTTTTGTCGAGAATAATTGTCTCTTCTGCAGAGAGCAAACACAGTGACCATCAACTTAAGAGAGTCTGTCTTCAGGAAAGAGCAGTGGTGTAGCCTGGCCCACCTGTGAATCGTTAATATGTGTTGCATTGCACTGCACTGTTCTGTCCACAGGCCAGGGGAAGAAGGTGTTCAGGGCTGATTCCAGTGACTGTGCAGTTGTGGGGGCAGAGAGCTGCAGACTATTAAGAGATCGTCCTGTAGACATACACACACACACATATATGTGTGTGTGTGTGTGTGTGTGTGTGTGAGCGGGTTTACCTATCCTTATGGGGACACAATGTCCCCATAACGTGATAAATATCTGTTTTTTTTTCCCTTATGGGGACCGGTTTCCTGGTCCTAAAAAACTAAAAATGCAAAAACTCTTGTATTTTGTTAGGTTACTTATGGTTATGGTTAGGGCAGGGTAGGGTTTCAGAATTTTTATTTTCTAGAAGGATTTGGTATAATTGCAGTTTACTTTATATTTTTAAATGAATTGAATGTTGATAATGCTAATCAATAGCTACAGTAAATTCAGAATTATTACCATATATCTTCACTGTAACCTAGTCAAAGTCCTACATTTATTACCCGCTCATGATATGGTCTTTACAGCAGAGTAATCATCTCTGCAGAACGGTATGGAACCCAAAAGGGGCACCAACAGAGACAGCCCAGCCCAGAAAATGTCCAGCACTTGCCTGTCTTGCTGTCAGCATACGCACATTACTCAGACCCTATGATCTGGCTGAGAACACAGACTTCATGGTATATATATATACATACAGTTTTTCATGTGGCATGCCAGCACAATTGCCGGAAATTAGGTCATATCTTGGTCTAGATTAAGGATTGTGCTGCCCCATTTGCTGCTAATCCCCAGAGATCCAGTGCATGTTCAAAAAATAATCTCTCCTAATAGGAAATACTTGTTCCATTGGCGTGTGACTAGTTTGCAAAAATGCTTGACCTTCTTGCCAAAATTCCTCGGCTATTAATTTGTTGATTTTAAATATCTAGTTTTTTATTTTTCATATTAAATGTGCTAACTACAGATGAAAATGTGTGTGTGTGTGTGTGTATATATATATATATATATATATATATATATATATATATACACACACACACACACACAATGCATTTACTGAATATATACAGTATATATATATATATAATTTGTAACTTTTGACTTTTAAGTTTTTTTCACACAAAGTGGGGCCAAGATTTTTTCTTTTTTCGTATTGGGATGCTTTCATTTTCATTTCTTGTCAGAGACTAATGGTGTAAAAAATATGCATATAATTATAGATGTCTGAGTGTGTGTATGTATGAATATATATACACACACACATATGCACAAAAATATATTTATGAAGTCCTTGACAAATGTGCAAAGTAATCATAAAGTAATCGTAATGTAATCGTAAGTGCTCATTATGTTAGACAGTCGGAGACACATCTCTAAGTAAAGAGCTTTACAGTAAGTAGGCTTCTGGATGTTTCTACCATGTTACAAACTCTTGCTGTTGACGGCTTGTGGATGGAGAATAATCTTTATCATTGTTTAATGACTCAGTTCTCTCTTATCTCTATCCTGGCTTTCAAATGTCTATATGTTCACTTTTTTCGCCAATTCAGGGTGTCTACTGTCAAATGTAGTTAAGGGTCATGCAATTTAATGAAATATGGCCCTCGGTCAGCCTTGCAGAAAATAAACTTCTCTACAGGATTTTGATTTCAACTCATTACCTTTCCTACAAGAACATTTGGTTATGCTTTACATTAACTGTACCTGCATAATACCTTTATAATGCATTCATAGAACATTCAGTGCATCTTCATTATGCATTCATAGAACATTCATAATCATGTTAAGTATGTTAACAGTTTTAATGTAAATTAATAACAAACATTATAATAGTATAATCGTATAATGTGTGTTATTAATGTTTATTAAAGCTGTTAAGGTATACTTATATGCTATTTATGAATATTCTGCAAATGCATTATGAATCCATTATGAAGTTGCACTGAATGTTCTATTAATGCATAAAGAATGAATTATGATGATACAATTAATGTGAAGCATTACTGAAATTTTATTATGCATGTGGAATCTCAGTGTTATATTTTAGATATCACCCAGACACAAAAAAATTATTTAGACATCTTCTCTGTAAATATGACTTGTAGTCATCTTATATTTTAGAATACCATTTTAATCACATTTTAATCAATCGTCATATCACATTGTATACTACTTCCGCCATAATTCTGTTTTGTTTGCTTTTCAGGATTTCTGTGATGGACAGTGGAAGTCTGCGGATAACAAATGTATCTAAATCAGATGCAGGCATCTACACGTGTGTTGCAAGAAACCAATTTGGTGTGGCAAGCAGTACTGGGAGCCTAGTGGTGAAAGGTGTGTATGTTCTCTTTTATTTCTGTGGATGGAGCCTCTTACAGTTTACGGCCATGTCTGTACATGTTCAGAGTACTGCTTCATTTCATTTTAAATTAGTAGATGATTCATTTAGTTTTCTGTTTGACACCTCTGCCCAACATTTTATACTTGTTATGTGAAACTAAATTTGTGTCTGCAGTCCTACTCATGCCTTGATCTGGGATTGGTGGTCAAGTCACAGTGATTACTGCCGTAGCTAGAGTCATGCATATTTATCCTGATTTAGAATTAGGCCACATCTCTCTCAGAATGCACGATTTCATGCATGGGCCCTTAAATGAATTTTACTGTGTATATAGCAGTGTGTGTACAGTGTGTGTGTGTGTGTGTGTGTGTGTGTTTGTGCATGTGGATTAAGTTTATATTACATTGGTGGACCAAGTGTTCCCATTTTTCAGGTCCCCACAAAGATCTGTCAATGCTATCAAAAACCTAAAAAATTCTGGAGTTTTGTTTGGTTACTTATGGTTAAGGTTAGGACTGGGTGGGGGTTAAGGCCGTCAGCTTTAAATGAGACAGATCTCTGGCTTCTGTAATCGTCATAGAAACCCATACAGTGCAGGATCCTCAGCCGGAGATAATGGTCACCGCCAGGAATCACATTCCTCTTCTCTTCCTGTTCCTTACTTCTAATATGGCATTAAAAATGAATGGGGGTGGCGTAAGGTGCTGTGACCAGTTGGCTTTGTTCTGTTAGAGGTGCTCTTCTGCCATCCATCTGAACGGAAAGGCACTTCCCTCATCAACCTTTTTTTCCGTTTCATTGTAAAACATTTAATGTAAACCGAATGTCACGGACGAGAGGATGTAACGCCTGACCCCAGCTAGCTATGCCATTCAGACATTCAGTTGGAGAGCCTGAAGGGAAAACACTGTTATTATGAGCTTGTTGTGAATGTCTGTTAGACACCGTGTTTGATTATAGATGCTACAATTTGTTTGACCAAAAATATTAAAGATATTTAATACTGTTTCATTGAGGTCAATGTGTAGAACTCATGGTTGCTAAATAATTCAGATAATATGAAAACAAGCAGGTAAGTCTAATTGTTGGGGAATAAATAAAAAGTCACCTTTTTTTGTGGCCACTTCATAAAGGTACTTGTGATCTATCTGTCTGTCTGTCTGTCTGATCTAAAGTAACCTTCATGAAATCAGAATCTGGTAATGTAGCAGTGCTTTGCTACTGTAATTATCAGCTATCGCTGGGACATATATCCATAAGATCTGTAATAAAGGCCACCCTCTACATTCTAACAAATTCAAGCAGGCTGATGTATTTTCTGATACTGAACCTAAAGGATTTTGGCTAATCTCTCCTCTTGATCATGACTGCTGCACCAGGAGTGAGGTGGCATTAAGCTAATCTCCCAAAGCACAAACAGAACCTGCAGAGAAAAATAAAGCGCTGTGAATTCTTGTTGATAATAAATCAAAAGCTTTGTTACACTTAATCATTTTCAATAAACAAATGGCATGTGACAGATGGCTATGAAGCACATTAAGTTACATTATGACACCCCCATGATATGCCTGCTTTAAGCATCCTTAAAATGGCAGATTTTGTCTTTTATTCACTTTCCATTTCATTCAGTACGATGAAATATAACAGTACAAGTTTTGAGTAAAAATAACGCCTACTTTATAAATGAATGATAATATTGTTGCTCTTGTAGAGTGTACATCAGGTGAAGCTTAAAAGCACTTATCACAATTTATTATGCTGATTGATACTGTTGTTTTTTTTTAGTTCTGTCTGATAAATATGATACTTAAATGGCTACAATAGTATTACTGTCCTTTAAATCACTCCTAATAATGTATCACAATCATAGACCATGAGGAATGGGGAAGAATCATAAGATATTTAGGTTTTTTTTTATATATGTAATTTACTGCTATAATGATTTTCATTTTGCAAATCTTTCAGCAGCACAGTTTTACACTCACATTTGTTACACTATTGCCATTCAGAGAAATGAAATGGCTTTCTGTAAAATATGCTGTCATATTTGTTTAGAGGGTTTGAAAAATTTTACTCTGATTCCAAATTAGTTCAGTTTGAAAAGTCTTAAAATTCCTTGAAAAAGGACCATCAACAGTATCAGTACGGAATGAAAACACATTTGGAAGTTTCCTCCCGCTTCGGAATGGCAAACAGGCTGCTATGGCAACCTTTCAGTTTGCTTTTTCTAGTTCCATTCTTTCTTAGAAATATGAGAGCAATTTTAATATTTGGAGTGTGTGGTTTTTATGTTTTCTTATAGTTTATATTATAGTAATGAAAAACAGCAGGCAGCCCTGGCAATAAATGTGAGTTACCAGTGTTTAAGGGTGGCTGGGTGGGGGCTTTTGGACTCACTGGGGGCTGCGCTTTGTGCATCTTGTTGCACATGATGGCTGATGACTGAAGTTCATTCTCACACTGGGAATATTTCCAGTAAATCGCCATCAAGCAGTGTTTTCCTCTTCCTAATTAATAATAGAGAAGCCAGCTTCATATATAATAAATGCTCTTAGGTCAGCAGTCAAGGTTGCAAAGAGCATCGCGCACACATGCGAGACTGCATCCTCGTGCTGAATCGTCATGCTCAGCACTTCTTCTGCTCCAAAGTTCATTCATTTTTCATTAATTTTGGAAATAATTTGTTATTAAGAAAAGTGCCTCTGTTCTTGCTTAAATGGAGGGATAATTAGCTTGTAACATGTGACCAGAAATGCATCTGCATAGATAAATGAGGGGGTGCAATATTATCCGCAAAGATTTCTCTATATTTTTGTTGGAAGAAATTAGAAATTCAGTGACGAGAGTCATTGATAGCAACACATACTCATTACTTCTCTGCACATAAAAAGGTTCTGGGTGATGATAGAAAACAATAATACTGCTTCAAGAAATGTTGCAGCATGGTGAGGAACCCGGCTAACAACAGGACTCCTGTAGAGAGTGTTATGACACATTGCTGAGTAAGGTTTCCGGCCTCCTGGGCACGGAAAAGCAGTTATATATGTACATATGTAATGTGTGTGTGTGGGTTGGGGGGGGTTATGAATATATTACATTGTGGGGACCAAATGCTCCCACAATATGATAAAAACCTGTTATTATTTTGATGTTGTAGGAACCATTTCGTTGGTCCCCACAAGGGGAAACTAGATTTTATAAAAATTTGTGACTGCAATCAAAACACTAAAAATGCCAAAAGTCTTGTATTTTGTTTGGATACTTATAGTTAAGGTTGGGGCTGAGTAGGGGTTAAGGTTGTCATTTTTCTCATTGTGGTTTTCCCCGTATGAATGCCTGGACGGTCCCCACAAAGAATACAAACGTGTGTGTGTGTGTGTTTGTGTATGTGTATGTCTAAAAGTAATAATGATTAAGAAGGCAATGTGACACCATTGTCTGCAGTGAAACTTAATATTTTATTCATTGGTTTGTTTGTTCATTTTTATTTACTTAATAAAATACGATAGCTATTCCAGAGCTGTGATGCCTCCTAACATTAGAGTTTATTAGGTAAATTTCTGTATGGAAATAACATGTATTCTATAAGCATGTGTACTGCCAAGTTTATAAACTAATAGCTTAATTGACATATGAAAATTATATAATTGATATGTGTATTTGTTCCGCTCTCTACACTACTTTTGTGTCTAAATAAGTATTCTTTAATCCTCATGCTACTGCAATGAAAGAATGACAGTTGGTGCTTTATGTGTTACTGTGCGCGTTCCTGCTGTCATTCTGCATGAAAAGACTTTTATATGAGGACATTCCTCCATCAATATATAAATGCTTTCTTTCATAGAGGACTTGTGCTCTGCTGTCAGAGTTGATGATGTTGTGGAAATGGGATTGAGTAAATTTACATGCACAATGTTACTGAGATACAGGAACTCAGTAGGCTGGTAAACTTGCCGGCCGGGAGTTGATCTTATGAGAAACGACAGTAGCTTATTTAATTTGACTCTTCTGGGATTAACACTGAAAAATGCCTGTCAGATTGTATTCATTACAAAATATATGCACACATAACTGCTGTGCAGACTCCTTAAAAACATCGGCTTCATGTAGCTGCTGCCATTACCAACATAGATCTAAAATACAGAGATGTTAAGCTGTACACTTTGGTGACACTACGGCAGGGTCTGAGTCATTCATATTGCTTAATCCTCCCCTCCCTTCGATTCCTTAATGTATAAATTGGTGTTTTTGGTTTTGCTTCACCCAGGTAACCTGGAAACCCACTGGTACCAGTAACAAGGCCTGTTATCTCGCCCCCTGAAACCATCGAGTGCCAGCCTTGAGCACACGTCACACATTTATTATTTTTCAGCTCCATCATAGTCATTATAACTCCATAGTCATTACTACCCTCTGGTATCCCAGCAGTCATTTGTAATCGATTGCTTTGGTCTCGATTCCGGCTGAAACTACCTGCCTTTATATCAGAAAAATGCCACTGTAGTACAAATTGGTTCAGGATTTGTATAAGATAAATTATATGATTGTACCTCATTTGATACTGGCTGTAAGGCACAGTTAGCAAGAGCTCTAAAATCATCTTATCTGCTTTCATGGAGTGGGGTACAGCTGTGTGTAGCAGTACTAAACAATACTTGTGTGTGTGTACAGTATGTGTGTGTGTGTGTGTGTATATATATAATATATATATATATATATAGTGCATGTATGTATGCAGTGCTACTTGTACCATGTAAGAATGCATCACAATATGTGCAATGTCACACCCAAGTGATGCAACCCCTCCAGTTCTAATGACAAATCAAAGGATTGTCACCAGTAGATGCGGTGTGACAGATACGAAGCTCTGGCTATTTATAGCTGAGGAGGAAAGGACATCAATGCAGAAAGGCTCTGATGAGTGCTGCAACTTCTCATACAGAGGCCACCACAGCGCCGTAATATAAACTTCAGTTTGTCTATAATGTGTTTGTCTAAAGGTAGAAGATATACTGTACCTAAATCAGGGCTGCCGCGGCAGGATAACCAGGGTATTTCTGTTGGCTATTAAGTACAATCATTGGCTATTGCTCAAGATATGGATGGTGTCTTTGGATGCCTTAATAATATGCATTAATAACGAAACAAACACAAACTACCGGCTGGTACAATTGGCTTGGAAACCTGAGAAATGAAATTTTCACAGTAGGTTGTTACAGAAACATGGAGGTTCTTGCAGATCTGAGGCTGGAGGGTAAATTTATCAGTGCTCACCAGCTGCTGGCTAAAGATGGAGGTGAGATTCTGCAAATAAAATAAAGGCAATATGTTCCGTAGTCGTGTGGGTTTGTCTACAGAATGCGTAGGACATTCCAAAGCTTTGTAAATGCGCATTTGGCTGAGTGCTCTTGATATGCTGAGTACACAATATAACATTAATGGTGAAATTTCTTGAAAAGCACCTCTGTGACTTACAGGTTTTATGTGGTTTATGCTCTTTTTGTTGGAGGCTCAAAGATGACCGAAAATGATGTTCCTATTTCTGCAGGTTTGAACACTTGCTAAGTTGCTGCTAAGTCGCTAAGTTACATTTATCTACTACTAAGTCACAATTTTCATGTGCAGTATCAGTCTCCTTTTTGTGCCGCAGAGATCAGAGGGACTGAGGTAACAAGGAGATCGTTACACTCAGGTACAGCAAAATACCATCAGTACAAGTGTTCTGACATTTCTTGCTGTACGTAGCCTTTCATGCTGCTCTTTGAGCCAACCCTAAGTCATTTTTCTTGTAAAAAAAAAAAAAAAAAAGTTCTGACTACATGTTGAGAAAAGTCTTATAGAGCGTATGTTGTTTCCATGAACCCAGTCAGTATGAGTTCTTTTACAATGATTATTTTCTTTCCACAGTCCCTGGGCTATATAAACAAGAAGCACTTTTATTGCGATTCTGTGGGGAGAAAATGTCTTCCTTAATCAGTGCATACTCTTCAATTACCAATATCATCTTTCTGTAACTCAGTCCTGTCCTGTGTAATGTCATATTTATCAAAAGCTATATAGTCACTTAATTATTTGCTCAGTGTAAGTGGTGTTTCGATGTTTCAGGAATTAAATTATTCCATTTTTATTTTTTTAATTATTCCATTTCAGCTATTCTCTCCCAGTTTCACCATTATCCCCATGTTGTTACTTGCTATTATGCAGGCTTTTGGGGATCATATTAAAAGGAAAAATATGGTCAAGTGACATAAAAAATATTGGTAGTTTGCCTGCAGAATAGCATTATAAAGCATGCTACTGAACCTGAGTACATCTGTGAAACCCTGGCAGCCAGTGGAATATTAAGAGATTGAAAATTCCACCACTGAAGATATTTCAGAGGTGCCTGTTTTGTGTATAATCATACAGTGTTAAATAAAACAGACTGAATTTACTCTATATTTTTCTGTGACTGTTTAATATTTCAACAGGAAAATAGGTCAGTTGTATTATTCTGTCTAAAACTACATTTTTTTTTTACTCTACAACAATTAAAGGGGCAACTGTGGGCATTTCTTTACTTTACAGTTGATATCTATGAGGAGATGTGATCTCCTTGGGCATTCTTTGTTAACGGGACCTGGAATGCCTTCCGCATTGACTCAAGGAGATTGCAGCTGCATTCATTCATGCTGTAAACAACAGCACTGCCTGTTGACCCTTCGCTGATACCTGATTGCTATGCAGTTCATTTGGTATCTCCAAAGCTTGTTCCCTCACATCGGGAATGCCCCCAGTGGGCCCTGAAATTGGGGCCAGCCCACGTTACATCATGCCTGCGATGTACACGCCTCAATAGGTACAATGTCCGTGTTTTACAATGACAGCCGGCAGCAACATATTTTACCAGAAAAATATAAATCAAATTAGCCTGAGAGCTTTCTACTATATTACTTCCCTTCTGAGCTCTCCAGCTTGTATTTAATGGCATTCCTGTACATGTCTGCCTTTGTTGTCACTTTGGAGTGATGTATTTATCATTTTCCTGAACCACCTGAGGTTACGGGCTTAATCCAACACGAAACTGAACATGTAAGTTTAAGGCTGGCTCGCAGCCTTGCTTTTACACGGCATTAGCTCTGCCCCAATTTAAATTAAGAAAAATTCCTTCTACGTGACTCATTGTGAAAGTACTGCCCCACATTCCTACAAAATCAGGGTAGGATATTGCTGCCATTATATGCTTTGTCTTTTACAAAGATTGATGAAACATCTCTCTATAAAAATGATGCATAGCGAGGTCAGTAAATACGGCTGGTTGGAGGTGCCTCTGTCCTCAGAAGTATTAACAAGCTTTGTCACACTAAGAACTCCGTAGTTTAATATATGAATGGAATTAAGTATTTAGATGTCTTCATTTGAGCTATTTTCTTTATGGGGTGACAAGCTGAACATGGTGGGTTGTGGAGGACTGTACCTTAGGGTTACCTCACCAAAGGAAAGCAGGGTATTAGCAGGGCCGCCACGGGACAGCAGCTGAAATAAAAATGCCCAGAAGATCCTTCTCTGTGTTCGCTAAAGTGATTCATCCCCGGAGGAGCAGTAGGTGTAAGTTACACCTCTTCCTGAAGTGTGCTGCCGCCTTTTATCTGCGCGGCTGTGCCCCGCACACGTGGGCCCCGTCTCTGGCTGACACGCGCATCCTGCCGTTCTATCTATTTTTCATGCCTGACAGTGTGCCAGTGTAGTCCTTTATCTTTTCAGAGGGGACAGGAACTGAGACACATCATTGCTCATTGCATGCCTAACTAGACCTGTCAGTGATAACATTAAGAAGGAACATTAGGACTGTAGACTAAACTAATGTACATTTATGTATGATTATAATCAGTAAATAATGTGCTAACTGATTTTTGTTTTGTTTTGTTTTTTGTTCATTGCATAAGTAATTGTAATAGTATTCCCCAATCACATTGCAAACTGAATGATAACCCTGAAGAGCAGAGTATTGGAAAATCCAACAAACATGACATAAATAAAAGTAAACATCATCCGTTTGACTTTGTATTGTATGTGGGATTCATCGCTTGTATTAGAATTCTCAGGTCTGTGGCTTTCTCATAAAGATGGGTTTGTTTGTGGATCCTTTTTTGTCGTTAATTTTAATCTGCATTTACAATGAAGCCTTAAAGTAAAATGCTCACAGCACCACCAAGAGGGCAGAAAAGGAAGCCGCACAAACAGAGGAACCCGCGCACAGAAAAAAACACACTATTAATGTGCATGGCGCACAGAAAATACCGTTGGGCACTTTTTGGTGTGTGGACCCTCACGTCAGTAGATATACAGGGGATGCATTTGTGAAGATTGACGCTGCTGTTGTGTCGGGTGGACCTTTCATAGTGGACACAGATGGTGGCAATTAGCAGTATCGCAAGTGACAAGGACAACTGACTCATAAAGTGCTAGGACAAAACACTGCTTAGCCATACTACTGTCTGTCTTTCAGTTCAGCATATGTGTACATAGGATGTAACTTTCAGTCTACCAGCTGTGTGAACCAAAACTGATTTATGCAGCGTATCTGTACGTCTTGGTACAATATTGTGCAATGTGTACATTTTTCTTGAGCGAAAAGGAATTGTTCATTATGCTTTTTGCGGACAGCGCATTTGAATGCTGCTAACCTTCCATTATTTATTTTCAGAGCCAACAATTATTACAACTCCACCATCAACTTTGGACGTGACATTAGGAGAAAGCATTGTTCTTCCATGTCAGGTGTCGCACGATCCCTCACTGGATCTGAAGTTCACCTGGTTCTTCAACGAACAAGTCATCCACTTCGGAAGCCACGGCGGATACTTTGAGAAAGTTGGCAGTGTAAGTAAATAAAATATAATACTTGTCGTCAACCCCCAAATGTCTTCAGAGTTTCATCTGTTAGCTGAGAAATTTCTTCCAGGTTATTTAATGTCTCTGCATTAGATGTTGCTACAGTTGTCAATGAACAGCAGGTGATTCAAAATGAAGATGGCAGAATGCAGCTATCTTGTTGAAGTTGTCCGCTTTTTTATTTACGATGCTAGTCCTGGTCTTAATCATGTCAGAGAGAGACACACCAATACATTGGGACTTATTTATGGAAAACGTCAGTGACTGCTTGCAGTCTTGCTGAACTTTCCATGTGAAACATATTTATGGATCATGAAGCTACAGCCGGGCATGTTGATGGCCCTCAGTGGTGCGAATATTGAGAAAGGAAATTAGCGGCAAATTTCACACAGGCACATAAACAACAGGCCTGCCAGGCATCCGCGTGTCACCGGTAAATAGCAAATGGTTAAAGGTCCAGCTGACTAATGCTGCCGTGTTGTCCTGTTTACTTAAAGAGCAGCAACACTTAACCACGACAGGGTCATCGAGTCAATCACAGGCTTCGTGGGAACAATGTGCTTGGGATGCCCGTCTATGACAGGGCACATACACACACTGAAACATTACGGCAAATTTAGAGATGCCAACTTGCCTAGCCACACGTTCTTGGGCTGTGGGAAGAAACTCCACACAACAGAGCAGATTTCAAACCCACAGCCCGGAAGGTGTCAGGTGGCGGGGCCGCCCGCAGAGCGCTGAGTCGCTATGCTATGTGATAATATGCAAGCACTATGTTACTCCTCTCAATAGAGCATGTTCTCACAATGACTATGTAACCAAGAGAATTAAGAAAATGAAAAAATACACACAGAAAATCATAAATATATTTTAATCTCTTCTTCTTTCTGTCTGCCAAAACTGCTGAAAAGAAGATTAAAAGATCTAAAACTCATATGTTGGATCTTTTTATTTTTTTGCGGATTACCTGTTTGGCTTTCATGAGTATGAAGGACTCTGCTGTATTTTAACATGGGTGATTACCTTTTATTGTTTAGGGATTTGAGATTAAAATGTCCAGACTTATCTATTATTACATTCTCTTTTTATCTATTCGGGCAACAATATCATAATTAAGCTTTCAGTTGACATAATATATTACCCTGCCTCATCAGTTATATCCTATTAAGTATTTCATTTTAAAGCGTTAATTGCACAATATTTGCCAACCTGAATTCACAGGAAATTTGCTAACAAGTCTTAAATATAGTATTAAGTAATGGTTTAAAATTTTAAAGCAGTGTTCATTGCATTTCCATTCTGTGTTGTCAGCTGTTTAGATGACCAAACTTGTGATTATAAAACACAAAAGTAGAAGGCAGTGGATAGTGATAAAAGGCAACACCAAGGTGATTCAAAGTAAATGTCTAGCTAGCTATGCTTAGGCACTATCCAATTTTTCTGTCATACCATCCAGACATACCTTTTTTGGATACAGTATTTTGACAGTATTTTCGAATCTAATAAAGTATTCTGGTATTCTGATAATTTGAAATCTTGCCAAAATCTTGATAAAATTCACCCATGATAAAATTTGCTCGATCAGGGAGGATTTTTCACAGTATTCCGAGATATTCAGAAATACTGACTTACTGTTCCTTCCCTTACTAAACTAATCCCAAAGTATCACCTTAAAACTCCCTAACCGCCCAGAGTTGTACTGAGTATCACTGGTGTCCCTGCGGCAGCATTCTTCAGGAGACATCATGATCCGCAACATCCAGCTACGGCATGCTGGGAAATACACCTGTGCTGTGCAGACCAAGGTGGACAGCATCTCCATTGCCACCGACTTGGTCGTCAGAGGTACGACATTCAGGCTCGCAAGCCTCACTAAGCAGCTCTCCTGAAATATCACAAAAGGAACCTGCAATTTCTGTTCACCTAATGCATACATTCTATAATTAGAAGAAACGGTAACACTTCACATTAGGTGCACCTTCATAATGCATTCATTAAGCATTCATAGAACATTCAGTGCACCTTCATAATGCATTTATAGAACATTCAGTGCACCTTTATAATGCATTTATAGAACATTCAGCGCACCTTCATAATGCATTCATAGAACATTCAGTGCACCTTCATAATGCATTCATTATGCATCCATAGAACATTCAGTGCATCTTCAGAATACATTCATAGAACATTCATAAGCACCATGCAAGTACACTTTAACATCCTAACATCCCTTAACAGCTTTAATATACATTACTAGCAAACATTACATGATTATACAATTGTAATGTTTGATATTATTATATAACGTTTGTTATTATTGTATATTTCAGCTGTTAAGGGATGTTGGGATGTTAAGGTGTACATTATGAAGGTGCACTGAACATTTTATGAATGCAATATAAAAGCATTATGAAGGTGCAGTTAACGTAAAGCTTTACCGAGGAAACAAAGAAACCTATCTTCTTTTTTTCAGTGTACAATTTGAGTGATCGAAGCCGCCTGAGTGATTAGCTTGAAATGATCTGCTTGTTAGGCCTGATTTGTAACAGCCCTCTGATTAGCATTAGCATTAGCAATGCGATGATAGGACTGCGAGCAGCATTAGCCTGGCCGCCGCAGGCGCCGGCTGATAAGGAGGCCAGATCTGTTGCCTTGCTTCTCGCACGGCCGCCCTGTTTCAGGTCCCCCGGGTCCGCCCGTGAGCATCCATGTGGAAGAGGTCTCTGATAGCACAGCCACTCTCTCCTGGAGGCCAGGCCCGGACAACCATAGCCCAATTACCACGTACACCATCCAGGCAAGAACACCATTCTCGCTGGGCTGGCAGGCTGTCACCACAGGTGCGGGCTAAATTTAGCATGGCATCAAATACGCTTGACCAGACAAGATTATATGTAGAAATTTTACACTAGATGATGATTCCATGACTTCAGTCATTTTCGGCGCTGAACTTTTTCCTGAATACAAATGTTACAAAGTGACAGTTTAGTTCCAGATTAGTCTGTGTTTTTGAAATGCACTTTTTGACTTTGATTGACCTTTCGGCTGTGATTTTCTAGGAAGTTCATTTATTGATTTTATGCCATGTACACATTAAGTTCTTCCATCTGATTGTGATAATGCATTACGCTGAATAGCCCAGGATATTGCCATCTATATGTACTGTATGAATGTGATTTCTAATGTAATAACGTAGGAAACATAAGACACAACATTGGTCTCCAGTGTTTCAATTACATCTTAATTAAGGACACTGTAGCTGTTGATTTTGGCTGCTGGATTTGTCTGGCAATTGAGCGGTTTCCTGGTAAGCTGTTTAGTGGATCTCCCGGTCTGGGTAGGCAGAGCGGCTCTCCCATCGCGTTCCGCCTCACCAACGCCTGCTCTACCTGTGCCAGCTCCCCAGGTGCTTGGAGGCCAGCGTCTGACGGCTACGGTGACAGACCTGAGTCCATGGGTCGAGTCTGAGTTCCGAGTGCTGGCCAGCAATGCTATCGGGACAGGAGAACCTAGCAAGCCTTCCAAGAAAGCCAGAACAAAGGAAGCTCGTACGTATCTGAAATGGATGCGTGTGATATGGCCATTTCATACTTCAGTGTAATTCTGGCCATCCATGTTCTGTGTTCTATTTTACTATAGTGTGTTACAGCAGCACAGATTTTTATTTCTTTAATAAATGCTCAGCAGTGTGTATAAGGTGTTGGGACGATCCCACTGAGGACCTGAGTTGCTGCTTTGTCTTCCACTTCTGGTCATAGTACAGTCTGTGAAAATGTCAAGAGTCCTCATCATTCACAGCAGTTCCAGTAATCTTCTTGGTATTTCCATTTCAGCAGGTGACATGTACATTTTAAGATCAAGGATATCTTAATTTTAGCAGCAATTCAGTTTACTTTGGAGGAATCGATCGTATGTGTGTGATTTGGAGACCAGGCAGAGTGGAGGGTAAGGTGCGGAACATAGCAGAGCTTAATCGTCTTTTCTTTCAGTTCCAAAGGTCACTCCTGCTAATGTGAGTGGTGGTGGTGGCAGTCATTCGGAGTTAGTCATCACATGGGAGGTGAGTAATCCACTGTCTGCACCCTAAATAAACCATTTACTGCACTGCAATGTCATTCACTCCCGGAATAAACCATTTACTGCACTGCAATGTCATTCACTCCCGGAATAAACCATTTACTGCACTGCAACGTCATTCACTCCCCAAATAAACCATTTACTGCACTGCAATGTCATTCACTCCCCAAATAAACCATACACTGCACTGCAATGTCATTCACTCCCCAAATAAACCATTTACTGCACTGCAATGTCATTCACTCCCCGAATAAACCATTTACTGCACTGCAATACATTCACTCCCGGAATAAACCATTTACTGCACTGCTATACATTCACTCCCCGAATAAACCATTTACTGCACTGCAATACATTCACTCCCCGAATAAACCATTTACTGCACTGCAATGTCATTCATTCCCCGAATACATTTATTTGCCTTATATCTATTTGAAAGTTTGAATACAGAATAGAAATTGCCCATTTATTCAAACAGGAAGGACTTTTTTTAGTCTGACTTCATCAATCCTGTCCAAATTATCAGCAGTTTTATCAAGCCTAAAATTACATACAAATTCCCGTTGCTCCTTTTCCCCTCATAAGAATTATTGATGCAGTAATCTGGAAGCAAATCAGTGTGTTTCTATTCAGACTTCTTGCGAGGTCTAAAAAGTGATATATTTAACGTTGCATTTGTAAATATAAAGCCAGAAGATTAATAGATATTATGAGAAACATATTTCCATCCAGTGTTTCCTGTGTGTGTTTGTGTAGATGATAATGCCTACGTCAGACCCTTACGGCTGGTTGAATAGCAAATATTGCCAAGCTCTCTGGGTGGAACTGATTGCTATCGAAGACGGGTTGCCATTGTTTGTTAAGATCTGCTGTCACATCAGGACCCTAATCCCTTCTGATGCTGGTGTACTTCTATCTCTAAATGTAGCCGTTTCAGCTCTTCACACATGCCATTAATCAGATCAATCATGTGTAGCAAAGACTCAGACCAAAGAACTTACAGAATGCGTATAGTTTCCATAACTGACAATAAACAGGGCATCACAAGAAGAATGAAATAGTAGAATCTGCAATACTCATTAGCAGTGAGATCTGTCTCTTATTTTAGTTAGAATGAGATACCGTATAAACACAAGTCAGAAGCTAACAAATCACACTGACGTTTTGGAACCTTTTTGATGACAGTGTGTATACAGTATATATATATTTGCTGATAAAAGGCTTGAAGTGTCACCTGAATGGGGATCAATCTGCTTTTTCCGTAGTGTTTATAGAGAGGCAGGTTTTGCACTGAGCTTCTTTACAGAGGGAAGATAACTCCCCATAAATATTTTAAATGAGTGTTGTGCCTTTGGCTTTAAGAGTAACTCTGCGCAGGTGCCACACTGAAGCTGACGTGTTTCTGCCTGCATATGACCGTGCGTGTGACTGTTGCAGCCCATTCCTGAGGAGTTGCAGAGCGGTGGAGGCTTCGGTTACGTCGTGGCCTTCAGACCTTTTAGCACTCCTGGGTGGATGCAGGCGGCCGTCACCTCGGGAGAAGCTTCCAGATATGTCTTTAAGAATGAGAGCATCCCCCCATACTCTCCTTACCAAGTGAAAGTGGGCGTGTACAACAACAAGGGGGAGGGGCCTTTCAGCCCCATAACCACCATATTCTCGGCTGAGGAAGGTAAGGATGAGCCAATGGCACATAAGCATCACACTACAGCAGAGGTAGGGAAAAGTCGTTGACTTTCAAGTAACAAGTAAGTCTGAAGTCAAAACAGGAAAGTCTTGAGTCAAGTCTTAAGTCCTAAGCTACAAGTCCCAAAAAAGTCTGAATATAATCCTTTTTTCTGTTTAACACTACAAAGTCATATACATACTGTATATAAACACATTATATCAATTTGTGCAATTAACAATTAAACGCTAAAATTGTTGGAATAAATAAGTGTATTTTTTAAAGGGCAACAACATAAATATAAGTGTAAAAATAAAATGTGCACATTAGACTTGATAACATAAATATCAGACTTGTTTAGGACTTGTAACTTAGGGCTTAAGACTTGAATTGAGACTTGCCTGTTTTGACTTGGGACTGGACAGTTTTAGACTCTCTTGACTTGAGATTTACCTGTTTTGACTCAGGATTTGACTTGGAACTTGAGTGGTAGGTATTTTTACTTGAAAGTCAATGACTTGTTCCCACCTCTGCACTACAGGACATGGGAGATCCAGTCAGAGCAATGTTCTCCGAGTCTCCACCCCAATATAATGAACATCATATATGTTTATATAATTCTAAGGTACTTGATTCGTAGATGCTTTTACATTCAAGTTAAATTTAAATTTCCATCAATAAAAAACTGAGCAGTACTTTGCTGGACCACACAGTGACAGTTTGTGTGTGTTAACGTTTATGTTTGTTGATGCAGCTGGTTTTCAACCTTGAGTAAAGGGGACAAAAAAGATGTCCTTAAACTGCTCATCAAAACAGTGTAGTTTTTACCATGAGCCGGAATTTTTCTGAGATAAGAACCAGCAAATTCAACTAAGCTCATGTATTCCTTTTTCACAATTTACAATGTCGTAAAATATCTGTAAAATGATCTCGATTAACTTCAGAGCCAGACAAAGCACCTACCAGGATCCGCGCCAGGAGTCTCTCTGCATCTGAGGTGGAGGTCTCCTGGAAAGCCCTGCTTCTGAGCAAGAGGAGAGTCCTGGGCTATGAGGTAGGTGGCGAATGGGTAGGTTCTCACCAAGGTGCTCCCGCCTTTCACACCGCTGCTTACACGGCTTGTGCATTATGGCCTGAGCATCTTCTGTGAGCAGACCTTGTCACCAGAATAATCTGGAATGTAGCAGAGATGTGCAACTGCAGCATATTCCTCTAAATTGTTCATGATCTGCTGAGTGGGTGCACACAGACTGTGATTGCTGTATGTGCAATCAGGCCGCGTTGTAATCATTTTTTTTACTATGCTGCTTTGTTCTGTCACAGAATGTATTGCAGTTAAGGAGATAATATTGAGCCTGTGATCCATGTAGCTGACTAAACGCTCTTGATTGTTGTTAATTGGCATTTAATACCGCTGGCCATTGAAATTCAATTTAGAGTAACCGTGCTGGCTTGCTACAAATTCCGGTGGGCTGTATGTGACGCTCACGCTTTCATCAATACAGCTAAAGCCTTTGATCAGGTTTTGAGGGCACTAATATGCAGGCCTGCAGTTGCGCCTTGCAGTCAGGACCTTGGTGACTTTGAAATGGTAACACTGAGCAAATAAAACGAGGGCTTTGTACTGACGCAGCACAGCGCTTCCCAGCTCCCTGTCAAGCTGGCCGTTTAACTCACTGCCGGTCTCGTGCCACAGCTGAGATACTGGGGCAAAAACGAAAAGGAGGAGACGGCCAACATGCTGAGAACGGTGGGGAACAAGACGTCTGCCGTCATCCAGGGGTTAAAGGGTAGCAGCATGTATTACATCACCGTGAGAGCCTACAACACGGCAGGGACGGGGCCCGTCAGCATCGCGGTCAACGTCACCACGAAGAAACCACGTAAGGCACACGATACGCCGCGGCGTCTGTATGCGATAACACTAATAAATGTTAATAAAGTTCACTGACGATCAGATTTCCCAGCTCAAAAACACTTTACTCAGCTCGCCAGCCAATTACGAGGTTTAGCAGGTGTGTTTGAGCAGGGAAATCTGCAGTGTGTCGCACACTGGCCCTCTAGGACCAGAACTGGGAAACCCTGGTTTAGGATTTTGTAAACTGCAGAGGGCCTGTAACTTTAGGTTATAACAACTCATGTTGTAAACATTAATACAGAAAATGTTTTTTCCCTCGGAATCGTACTATAGCCCCGAGCCAAGCACCTCTGAAAGTCATGTGGAATGCATCAAATTCCAAGATCATCTTGAACTGGGAGCATGTCAAAGCTCTTGAGAATGAATCAGAAGTTACTGGATACAAAGTAAGACCTTACACCACAGACCTGACTCAAGCGTTTCCAATGTCACAGCTGTCATGACTCGCTTGCAAAATGTAACGTCTGACTTGTTTGACATCTCCCAAGGTGCTATATAAGCGCAACAGGCACAGCAGGCCTGATGTCATGGAGACCAACACCACATCAGTGGAGCTCTCCCTGCCTGTAGATGAGGAATACATCATCCAGATCAAACCATTCGGTGAAGGAGGAGAGGGGAGCAGCAGCCGGCAGATCACCATCCCCAGAATATCAGGTAGCTGTGCAAATGGCACATACCATACATATGACCCCTGTCAAACATATAGCTGAAGTGTGCATATAAGGTGGGAAAAGTATACAAATAAAGTCCTTCTAAAGAGACGGGTCTGATAAGCAAAACTACCTTTAATCAAAATTTTAAAATCAACTTGTGCTCATCAAAGACTCACTGTCCCCCTCTGTTGACATATTAGTGAATTGCAGCACTCCCATGTTAATTCTGGTTCATGAATGCAGCTCTGTTCCCTTGGAAATACCCTTGTAAATAAACGTGCAAAGCATTTCAAATACTTTAATAAATGCTTATTTAAACAGAGGCAGGTGATGCTGTTATAATCGTGACCAGCAGGGCTGTGTCTGTACAGTACGAGTTGCGCAGCCTTGTTTACCAGCATTTTTGGCAGATGCTCCAGTTTCCCTCATCCCAAAGATAGACCATTTAACCCAGGAGCTATGATTCATGTGTCGTGAGATTTCTCCATGGGTGCAGTCCCCTGCAGTGCAGTTCAGGAGCTGGCTTTCCGCACTGTGCTTCTGGGATGAGGTCTAGTCACTGCTGACTCATAGTCGATCTCCATGGCAATCGGCCTAGATGAGTACAGAGAGCTAAAATCTGATCATTCTCAAAATTAATTAGTAAAAATAAATTGCTCCATGGTCTAATGTGTTCACTTTGATTGTATTTCAGGTCCAAAAGCCATCGGTTCAGCCTCCAAGGTATCCACTTTATCGGCCCTGAGTACAATAGCACTGTCTTTCACAGCGAGGACATCTTTATGACGAACAATATCCGGAGAACTCTTCCGCTGACAAGGAGGCGACTTAAAGACCTTAAAAACATAAGAATAAATAAATAAATAAACCTGAAAACGTATGAGCGGCCACCAGCCACACTCCGTGGCGTATAGAAGCTCATTAGTGTATGCTATAGAAGCAGGAGGACACACCTGAAGATATGGAATCCCGTGAGAAGTGCAGCAGGCCCCTCCCTTAAAGTGTCATTCAAGAAGCGGGGGCGTCTGCGGAAGTCTTGAATATTGTTACCAAAGCAGCTTTCATTAAAAGAGAAAAAAAAGTTCTTATATGCATATTTTGTATCAGATGCTGGGCTTTTTACAGATTTCTTTAAACATACTTACAGATTTGCTCTGTTCCAGTAAAACTAGGATGTACAGCATATAGGTGCATGTCAAGTCCAAGAGGAACCATTTCTTTCATGGGAAAAGGATAAACCTTTCTGTCTGGTTCAAAGATCCCCTTCGACATCTGAAGCCATTGACATTTGACGGCACGAGCGACACATCTCCAGCCATCTGTACAGCGGACACAGTGAGCAAAGGCCAGGAATGCAGGGGCGAGATTGAAGACCATGATCCAGCTGAATCTCCGAGCACTGACGCGAACACGTCATGTGGCACGTAGCACGCATACGACATGTGACGAACGAATTCCAGACTGTCAAGCGGTCCGTCTTCACATGATGCCATAGCTACGGGAACTGAGGAAGGAAAGGTGTCTCTCTGTTCTTGTTTGACCTCCATCGCACACGGTGAGCCCACTTGGAAGATTACACACCTTAAGAGGATCTTCATTCGTCGAATTCGCCGCCCCGCCGTTCCTTAAGTGGGTTCCCGGTGCCCTTTCTATGGTGTCACCCTCTCTGCTACTAGTCTGTTGTTAGAGCTTTAAAGCTCTTCCTTATGTGTGTGCCTCATATGTTCCGAATTCTCAGGTCTTTTAAGAGCCTTAAGTAATATCATATAGATATATATGTGTGTGTGTCTGTGTGTATATAAACATTAATGTACATGCACACACATGCATATATATGTATATATATATATGTGTGAGTGTATGTATATTTATATATATATATATACACACACACACACATATATATGCATGTATGTATGTATGTATATAATGACACCACTAGTTCATATGGATTGTAAAAGGTGACTAACTGTCATGACCATTGAGTTTAGGCAATCATTCTGCAAACATCATTCACATCATATCACTCATGAAGGGGGGTCTCTGTATCAGTTTCGGTTAGTTTACATGTGACCTGGACGTGCGGGAAGATGCACTGGCTGATCTTTAACAGGTGGAATGTTGCCGATGCCTCTTTTCAGTTAGTCCTCTGATGCTATGTAGAACTGCTACAGTACCGTATGTAGCTTGTAATCCAGTGAAAAAAATGCAGGTAGTTCTTAGTCAAAAGGGACATATAGGTTAGTGGGTCTGTTCGATACCTGGCATTCAATAAATGTATAGTATCCTTTTTTGTATTCTTCAGTTTCTTTATATTGAAAACACTTTCTTATGGTCAGATTGGTTTCTTTATGAAAAATCTGAAATAATGGTAAACATTTCATACTGTAGCTAAACGTTGTTCCGCATGACATTGTTGGCTCTATCCGCATCCTGATGAAACAGCGTGCAACCATCCATCGCAGCCATGGTAACTGCAGCGTGTAACCATCCATCGCAGCCATGGTAACTGCAGCGTGTAACCATCCATCGCAGCCATGGTAACTGCAGCTTGCAACCATCCATCACATAACTTCCTTCCTTAAACCAGTTCTCACCACTAACGGGTCACATTCTTTAAAATCTCCTGGTCTTTCCAAACAAATCAGTTTTATGTGTGTTGTTGTCCTTGTTGTTGGTTGTTTATACTGAGTTAATAAATAAATTTAATTTATAAACCCGTGTGATTTACCTGTTGTTGTTTACGGCACGATCAGTTACTCTATACGTTTAACGTCTCTGTAATCGGTATTCAGTGGTTCCCCAGTTGGTGTCGTGAGATCATGACCTTAAATGCAGACATTCAGTTCTGCTAACGAGAAGCTCAAACTGTGACCGAATGGAGTTTGTGACCCGTTTGGACTTTGGACAGCATGACGCTACTGTTGCTGCCTAATTAAGATATCTGGCTGTATAAATAGATTAATTGCATTAAAGCTCATGCCAATCAACCAAATAGTTATTTCAATAATAAAAATTTTATGTAGGTTTTTCAGGGAGATTAGGCTACCTGCATATCACACTGAGTAAAGACAAATGTTACTAACATGAAAGTTTATAGAGGGAAAGCAATCTGGATGTAGTAAGTCAATATAGATCTCGGTGAAACCCAAAGTATTTATATTAAGATTATTCTGCCTGCTCTGAGACCGATCCTTTAAGAAAACAGCTTATGTCTCTGCAGCAAGCCGGTATCTCTTATCTTTAGAGACAGGCTGAGATAAGTTACGGTGACCAAAGCTGGAAATCCCTGAAGTAAATAATACAAATAAGGTATTTAAAATCATATTGTGCATATTTTGAAGTCCATGCAAGAGCTAAAAGCACAGTCACTTTAAATTCTATCACATAGGCATATTGTCAGTAACAGGATTATTCAACACATAAATCCACTACAAATAAATAATTTGCATGAATCTGTGATGTCTTCCAAGATGATTATTTGACCCAAAAAATACTTGTTCTCTCAACCTACCATCCAATAAACTACCATTAATAGACAATCTGTCGACATGGATTTTGCTTTTCTTGACTGACATACATCAGTCTATCATAGGTGCACTCTCCTCATTTATCAGCAATTATTTCCTTTGAGTTGAGGCTTTGTCACTGACTGTATTTCAGATATGCGTTGCCTATTCATACATTCTCACGCATTTCACTACATAGCTTGTGTAAGGTCACTGAAGGGAACATCGGCGTGCATTCCACCAGCAGGAAGGCGACACTCTTTCTTTTAACCTTTTTTTTCTTCTAATTTTTCATCTGTGGCTGTATACCCTGATAACCATTCTGGGTGAAAAATCTAAGTACACCTGAATGACTTGTTCAGAAGTTGGTAAACTCCCCATGTTTACAATAACTATTAAAAAAGCCACATTGCTTCTTCAAACACCTTAAGTGCACATCTCTCCATCTCCCTTGGCCTGATTGAAAACAGCAGGGTGCACCCCAAATCGGACGAAGTTTTATTTAACAAGGTGATCTGCAGTGGAAGATCCCTCGACGAATAGCCCGTGTGTGTATGTGTGTCTAAACCGTGGATGCCAGCACTGTCAGGTCTGACAGATAATCAACGGAGGTGAACTTGTCTGCTTGCAAGGCCTGAAAACACTCGGAGCTCCGGCTGTCCCACAGTTACACTCCCCGGTGAAAGAGAAATTGCACCATGTCTGACCAGTGCCCTGAAGGAACTCTCACGCCAGACAAAGTGCATGAGAACAATAATGGGAAAATTCCATAGGACACGTCCGGTAAGATAACATAGTTCTCTGAAAAGGGGAAATAGGGAGCTAGCAGCCGTACCTCAAATATACTGCTGCAACAGTGGAGAACTGCTCATCTTAAACGTTGTCTTTTTGCGCTTGTTAATTGAAAAACAAGCATGCAGAAATATGGCTTTATGGTGGAGACACAATCGGATTTAGATATGCAAACCAACTGCATGTATAATCAGGGGAATTCAGCCATGCCGAAAGCCAATTTAAAAGACGAAAACGCAAATCTCCAGCAGGTGGCGCAAGCATAAGTTTTCATTACGGTACATTGTATCATCTCCTCTCATCGAAAAAATCTTATTTCATTTTTAAATTATTTTTAAATTATTTTAACCTCATTTTGAACTCTCCAGTACAACAAATGAGTAATAAAAGGCAACCATTTCATTAAAATTTATATATTTGACATCATTCACACAACTGTATACTGTTCTGTTATTTCAAAATTAATATGTAACAAATAGAACATGTCAAACCTCAAACCTGTGAACTGACAATAGTTTTTTTGGCATAATACTTGAGTCCATTAAAGTTAGACTTTTTCCATTTCTTTTATTATCTATGTTACAAAGCTAGACTATGCGGCGGTTTGAACAAAACACCCAATCACATTATCATAGACTCTCATATGGTTGCATTAAAAAAACATCAGATCTTACTCAAATGGAGACAATTATTAATGTATGCAAGTATGTATTTATTTATTCCACTTAGACTCAATGCAAATACAGAAAACACACACCACCAAGCACTAGGGGGCGATGTAGAGAAAGAGGACTCTCTTAGAAGGTAGGAGGACTGTCAGAGAAGAGAGCACTTCTAATAGCCGTGCACAGAGCCGTGAGGGTCGCATTTGGATTCACTCAAGTCTACTGTCTCATTTTTTTTAGGCAAACAACTGTTTCAATCCAAATTCACTGAGGTCTGGCCACTATCATGTAAACCCGACATACTGTGTAGCAAACCGTGTGGGGGCATCTCGTAACTGTCAGCAATGATACGCGCCGCTCTCCCATCATCGCACCCCGTGGCATTTAACCCAGCCTAGTCTCCACGTATGAAATTGTTCCATCTATCTTCACAAGCCAAAGCAGGTGCTCTAATCCACTGGCGGAAGCAAAAGTGCTAAAGAGCCTTTCAACAGCTATCCAGGTTCAACAGAGCTGATAACAAGAGGCCCCTTCACAGATACGCCACCAGGAAATCTCCAAACTCTCACACCGTCGCTTCCGCAGCCTATTCTGCCAAGGCGACGGCAACTCAGGTAGCTAAGCGACTGATTCCGTACCGTAACAGAACCAGCCAGCAACGACTGATTCAAATGAGCCAGAGGAACGTTCTCTGGACAAAACGCAGCTAAGTTTACCCATGAATCAATTTCCCCACAAGCCAATAGTTTAAAAAAAGGAACCTCATCAGCATCGTGAAACAAAGAAAAAGCAGGGGATCTGTCAGCAAGCAGAGGGGACCGTACTGGGGGGGGGGATAGTTCTGGGCCATGAGGAGAGCTTGATGCGCTGAGGTTGACTGATTCAGTGATGCTATGTACACAAAGATAGCCTGCGTTTGCATAAATGAGTAGAATAACATTTTAGTTATTTGGAAGGGCCCTAATTTTACTCATGAAGCAAAACTCTTGCTATTATAAAATAACCCAGAGAAATGGACCTGCTGTTTTTATTTAAGCAAATAAAACTCATAACAGTTACTACTGTAGGTGGATAATGATTAAGTGAAACCTAGTTAAACAAATCATTCAATGGGATGTCTGTTTGCTCTGCAAGTGCTTTCATAGTTAGGCTCAGGTATATATTTCGCTTAGCTAATTGATGTAAACAACGGTGTCTGTGAGGTAATTAAATGTATTTGTTTGTACAAATTCAAGTAGGTATTTCAATAATACCTTAGATTAGCCTCTGCTCATATTCCACCCTGTATTAATTGTTGTATTTTATGCAGACAGTAAAACTACAGAGAAAATAAAATCCCATTTACCATTTCAATTCAAATGCTTAACATAATGAACTCACTTAGCCCTCACTGGCTATCACCATGTATTTTCAGGTACATATATTTAATGCAAAACAAAGCTCTTGTGTTTTCGACACAAGCCAGTATCCAGTCACAGAGAGGGGAAAAATCAGGCACGTTTTTCAAGAGACAACAAACAACGCTAGAATCTGAGACATCTGTACAGTATCATTGCTGACAGTGATGCAAGCAAGTGCCCTGACAGCAGTAAAAGGCTCCAGTGTTATTTGACCAAAACATAGGAATCAATAGCTAATTAGATTAGGTTGTTTCAAAAAGAGAAATACAATTCAATAGCATGTAATATGAGTCTGTAGTGTATTCCCTTTACCGGTTAAGCTCCACAGAATGAGAGGACAAGGAGGAGGAGAGGAAGAGGTGATTCTGAAACCGGCTGTGAATATGCTTATGCGAATGTTCATTGTCAGTACTTTGAAATCCCAAACCAGCAGGATTGTTTTCCATGTAAATTTTCCCATGGTTTAAAATCTGACAAAAAAGTTACTTAATATTACAATGATACCACCAAAATGAGCCAGAGTTATTGCAACAAGTGATACTGCAGGCAAATTTAGAACATAGTGTGAGTGTTCTCTGTACATTGTTTAAAGTCACAGTTCAGCCTGTGTATGTACAAATGTTAGTAGAAGTGGTTATGTTTGTACTACGTTTAAATACACAGCAACAGCAGGGCCGTGGGTCCTGAGCACAGGTGAAGAAATATGTACTTCTGGGTGACATGAGAGTGACCCGGAGGTCCCTCTTAAAACTGCTGACTTCTCTGTCCCACCAACTTACAGCACGGATGGTGCAAACGCCCCAATGTGCTGGGACTCCTGGTGTTACCACTATGCGGACGATGAATAAGCAGGACACAACGTGATGCTTTTCAGGGAAAGAAACCGCAGGACTCATTCTCTCTTATAAATACCATTTCCAAATTCACACATCGCAATGTAAAACTAATGAGAATCAGCTAAGGAAAACTGACTAAGGTACTGTCTAAAAATGTTAGGGACAGGATGCACAATGGACTGCGATAAAAGACAATGAATATCCAAGATGTGGGTAGAGGGGGAAGGAGATAGGGACTGAGAGAGGAACCCAGACGCAAACCACGTCCAAAAAAAAACAGTCTTCGGGTTTCCTCCTTTCAGTGGCTGTGCGGCTCTGCCTTGAGTCTCAGATTATAAAGAAGTCATCTTGTCACAAGCTCAGCCCAGCCTTGCTGATGTCTGATGTGATCTTCTACTGCTGTGGCTGCCACAAACTTTTTTTTCTGTGAGCCCGTCCAGGCAGAGAAGCATCAGGAGTAGCCACACCAACTGCCACCTAATGCACCTATGCATCGCTGCTCTTCTACCAATCAT